AAAATAAAATTTAAAATGATAGTTAGGAGATAAAAATTTGATAAAATTGAAAATAATATTTAAAATAATGTTAATGTGATAAAAATAAAATACGAAAATAATAATTAGAATACTATTTATGAGATAAAATATGATTAAAATCAAAATTATTATTTAAAATAATATTTAGGATATAAAAATTTGATAAAAATCGAAAATAATATTTATGAGACAAAAATCAGATAAAAATTGAAAATAATATTGACGAGATAAAAAACTAATAAAAACATGACAAAACTCGAAGAAATATTTAAAATATTATTTAGGAGATATAAATTTGATAAAATTCGAAAATAATATGTAGGAGATAAAAATCTGCTAAAAGTTGAAAATTATATTTAAAAATTAAAATTAAATTTAGGAGATATATATTTGATAATATTAAAAAATATTATTTATAATAATATTTAGGAGATAAAAATTTGATAAAAATAAAAAAATAATATTTAGGAGACAAAAATCTGATAAAAATAAAAAATAATATTTAGGGGATACAAATATGATAAAATTCGAAAATAATATTTAAAATAATATTAAGGAGATAAAAGTTTGATGAAAATTGAAAAAAAAAAATTACAAATATGACATTAGGGTTTCTTAGGGTTGCCATAGCGTTTCTTTCTTTTATATATAAGATTTTAAAACTACAGAAAAATTGGGGTTGTCTCTGTTAATTTATTGCAATTATTATTGTTAATGAAGTCAAGAAAATGATATTCAAACATTAAAAATTATTTTGAGCTCGCTTGATCGATACCTCGACACCGGTCAGATAAGAGTTACGACTAAATAACTTACAAATTTATATTATTGGTAATTACAAATACCCCTAAAACTAACAGCTCATTATATAGCCTATCGAAAGGAATGAGTAGTTTAAATTACAATTTTATCAAACAAACAAACTATGAGTAAATTACGGATACCATCTGTGGTAAGATGAAATATTATATTTACCCCCTGTGGATATATGTTACCCCTTTAGTCGGTGACATCGGCTATGACTCGTGTGGTCGAGTCATGGCCGAGAAAGAGTGCCAAGCAAGGGTTGGCACAAGACAGCCACATAATCGGCCAATGAGTGGTCAAGTGTTGGGCAAGCATTTGGGGTGTTTGTCCGATAAAGCAAGGATCGGCTTGATTCAAGTGGGAACGGTGATCGAAAGTACTTATGGCTGGCACGGGCGTTGCTCGGCAGCGAATGCGGACAAGTGTGGGCAGTAATCGGCATGTGGCCGAGAACTTGGGCAGACGAACATTCGGAGGAAATCGACCATGACTTGACAAGTGTGGGCAAGTGTAGCACGATCGGTTGGCAAGTCAAGGAATGCAGCCCGATGTGCGGGCGTGCTAATGACCGTGTGGGTAATGAATTGGCAAGTAATTGGCAAGGCGAGCAAAATGTGCGGAAAATGCAAGACACATGGGCTGCCAAGAAACCGGTCGGGCTGTTTTGGGCCGTTTGGTGTGCGCGCGCGCACCTGATCAAGATGGGCCTCGAAAACCAGCCATGTGGGCGCTTTTGAGGGAAGTTGAGGAGCGGTTGAGGCCTGGAAAGCATGAAAAACTGCCCCTTATTACTTGTAATAGTTAGCCAAGTGTCAAGCAAGTATGCTGCCAAGTGTCCCTAGGTAGTTTTATGTGAAAACTACTTTATTCCTTGTATTTATATGTCTATGAGTGCACAAATCCGCCCCATCTAGCATTAGAGAGTTCAGATTGCAATTGTGGGCATTTTGAGTGAGGATTTTGTTTGTGCACCTTAGTCTCATTTGTATTCTTTGTGAGAAATTAATATAAAGGTTGGGCAGACGTGCTTGTTTGTTGTTTTCCGCTGCATACTCTTGTGTTCATTTATGTTGGATTAAAAGACTTGTGTTTGTGCGTTTTGTTCGAAGAGAATCGACAGGAAGGCTGACTGATTTGATGGGCAAATCAGGCCGCACGGGCGAAAATTTCTTGATCAAAGAAACCCCTGTGACAATTTACATTTACCTCTCTGGGGTAAATCTGCAAATTTATATCGAACATTCCTTGGAATTTTCAAGATTCCGTTACATATAGTTCCGTAAAGATGTAATTGTTGGAAGGAGCAATAGTTGAGGTGGTTATTTATAATTAACGATACGACATGGGTGTGTAAGTTATTTAGTGATATCTCAGGGGTGTCCCCGTAATTTATCCGAAAAAAATTATGTCGGCATTCTTTATTTTTTTTTTAAAATACAAAATCAAATAAATGTCTTTTTCAACCAGCCACATAATATAATGTCACGTTAAACTTAAAACAAATTATTTGATTTGTCCAACGTAAAATTGAATGGACGGAGAATTAATTTATATAGGATTAATATAAATTTGACACATGCCCTAAAAGTTGTTCAACTGCATGTATAAATGGTTTTCTCATGACATAAATTAAAACCGAGTGTGAAAGTTAAGTGAAATGTACACACACTCACACACACCAAACACGTATATTAATATTTATTCAATTTATTTGAGATATATGTGAGTTACCTAATTAGTAATTAATTGCAATGTTCAATTATAATATAAATATAATTGTCTTAACCACAAGAGATATTGATCTATACTATATTTTTGTAGTGACCCAATTTGTCAAGAGGTTGAATAGAAGAATTGACACCACAATAAATGTTAATAGACAATAAAATTTGATTCTCAATAATAGTGAAACGTGTCTTTTTTTAAACCAATAAATAAATAAAAATAATTGTAATGAATTGATTGAAAATGTCAAAATATATATAGTTTAGTGGACCTTGATAATTTATTAGATGTGTGATAAATCATAAATGCTTAATAATTGTGTTGGTTGCTCTGTATATATTGCTCTCAAGCAACCAAGTCAACTTCAGATCATATCACTTTTCTACTCGGTGCACTTAATGTGTGGATGATTACAACCAGTATTCAACTCTGAATCTTCTTAAATATTATTAAATTTAGTAGAATTTTCTAGATTATGTGTAATATTCTCCACTTTGTACCCGTTTTACTCCATTCGAGCTCCAGATTTAAAAATCAGATGACCATAAGATGTGTCTCTTGGCTTGTAAATATCAGATTGTGGTGCATCAGAAACTATATTTTTGCACAAAACGAGTATAAATTAGAGAGTATTCCACAGAATCTAGAAGATCATGTTGACTTTGACACTACAAGGGTGGACTTGTAAGAAGATTCCTAGTTAAGGAGGTGATTGTAATAACCCAAGCATGAGGGGTTATTTCGTAATTTCATCTTACTTCAGGAAGATATGAATGTAATAAACAAAACAGGAGGGGGTATTTCGTAATTTCACCTTTACCTGATTCAAACAATAAATCTAAATACAAATATATACAGAGAATTAAGTCCAAAAAATAAAATGTTATTAAGCAAGGGCAGAGCCAGATTGAATTGTACAACAAAATCCTCTACAAAGAACCATTTCTCACTAAAGAGTAAAAGAATCAAGAACTTACTCTGTACTGTATATACAATCATCCTAATTAAAACCAAAAAAATAGGGATGAGAAACAATATATTAAACCTAAACAAAAAAATACAATATTAATGAATTTCTTCGACTCCCCGACTATCAGAAAAATTCTCGTCACTTTCCAGTACTCTAATTAATGCTTCAATTTGCCGTCTATAAACAGGCATAAAATGGTCGGCAATCATACTCTGCGAGAGCCTCAACTTACTGTAAACCGACCTTGGAGTGAGAAAAATCGCAACTTTCGGTTCTTCTTCTTTCGGGCTTTGGCCCGAATCACTCGAATTCGGGCTACCACTTTCCGGGGTTTCCGGGCCCGCCTCGTCAGCACCGAGCGTCACAATGTGCATTATCCTACCAGCTGGGAAAAATCTATGCACCTCCTTTGTATTAGGAACAGAGCTTTGAGACTGAGGGTCACTCACCTCTGCAATGGCTGCAGCTTCTTCTTCCCTGATTTCTTTAACCATGTCAACTTCTTCTTGTTCTTCTTCGGATTCCAAGTGTTGGTTCAGCTCTCGTTCGATTTGCTGCCACAGTTCAACCTCCGTCATCCGATCCTCGTACTTTACGTCATCGACGATGTCATCATCGTCGGACTCGATATCCGTACTGTCCGCTGGAGTGATTTCGCTCGTTTGATGTGAATTCCCCATTCTGCCCTCGGGTGAAGAAGATACCGGAATCTCTGTTTGGGTCTCGTCGATGGTTGTGAGGAAAGTCTCGGAAGATTCTGGAGAATCTTCTTCGCTGACGTGGCAATTCATCTGAGCTGTCGAAGGTCTACGACGAGGGCCTATGCAAGACCATGACGACATCCTAAGACCGGGGCGGGCCCACGCGGCTCGAGCCATGGTTTGAGCTCTCTTCATAACAACCTATATTTCCAAGAAAAAAAACGTAATTTTAAATCAGATATCTTTTCTTCGAGTGAAATAGGAACGTTGATGGGATTACCAACATTGATTGAATTTGTCTATGATAATCTAATATGCGGTTATCTTATGTTTGAGATTTGTGATTATACAATTCTTGATTTTGATATCATTCGTAGAATCGTATAGATAATAGAGATCGAGTTTTGACTAAGGGCCCATTTCTTAAAGCATATAGATCCTTCACTCAGGGCCCATTTCTTAAAGCATGATTATATTGTAGCTTAATCATGATTCCCGGGACTCAAAGGCTACGATAAACTATAAAAATCTATAGATTGTTCGATTAAAATGAACTTTTAATTTGCCAAGATAGTCCGATTGAAAGCAGTATTAGTACCTGAGTACCGCTGGAAACAGGACGTAGCATTGCACCAGCACCAACAACTTTTGCTTTAGCAGTGGCCATTGAAGGAAGACGAGAACCAAGGGCTGAAGCAGACCGATAAACCGTACTAAGTATTCTGGTACGTTCTATTTGATTCCTCAGATCATTCAACCAAGCAGATGCTGTCACCTGCACAGGGTATAATTCATTAGACAAACAACACATTCCCAATCAAGCAATATAATGTGAAGGGAAAAAATAAGGATCAATAATCACTGAAACGAGCAATAATTTACAGGACTTTCATAAAAATTACCTCGGCACGCAAGTCATCCACTGAAGCAGCTGAAAATGTGGGCACCAAATCAGCTCCGTTTATTACAGAAGTAAGAAAGTCGTTTCCTGATTCAGCCAGTTCCCATGTCATACAAGCAGCTGCGTAAGATCATAAACGAACAAGTGGTAGAATGTCGTCAGAAATAAATCATGCCACTTCTTGTGAAAAGTAAAACGATGGAAGAATTGAAAGAATAAAAGTGAACCTGGAGCAAATGCAAAGCAGGTAGCACTCGACAATTCTTTCCGTTCCCGCAAAATGTATGTTAAAAGGGCGGCAGTTCCGCCCCCAAGAGAATGCCCTACAATCTGTAGACAGCATTAAAAAAAAGCAAATCATATGCTTGATGATTATAATAAACGAGTTTTGTCTGACAACACACCACTTGAAGATGGAAAAACGTCTCAAGTAAAACGGAACGCAAAAAAATGTAGAAACCTTAAGTTTATAATCGGGATAACTTTCGAGTGCAGTAAGAAGACAAGGAGTGGCAAGCTTTGCAATCCATCTAGCAGCCGCCACCATTCCACAGTGTGCGTACCCTAAAACCAAGTTGCTCACTCCCCCTTCACACACCACCGTGTGATGAAACGGCACTACTGCTCCGGTGACAGCTGTCAAAGTGTCCTTCACACTGTGGGTCCCACGGATCAGCAGTAGGAAACTTTTAGTCTTGTGGTCGACCAACACAGTAAAGGCTGGTTTTAGAATCTGCAACAGAATACATTTCTTACATCCTTGTAAATTGACAACCTGGTAACAACAACATACTAAAGATGAAAACTTACGCCGGCTTTAGGTTCTTGGAGGATAACATCTTCTTGAGAATAGCCAGTCTCCTCGAGAAATAACGGAAACGGCTTCTTCGAGAAATGCCAACACAGAGTCAACAAATTCAAAAGATATTTTAGCTCCGCAGCTATTTCGGGTCCTCTAAGCTGTAAACTATCTTTACCACCAAATTCACGGCTGGCATGTAAGTATCCCTACGGAGTTCGTTCATCAACATTAAATCTCCGATAAGAAGGCTTACAAAGAACTTACCTTTCAACAAAAAAAATACAGAAGATCTCATGCAGCTATTCCATCTAAGTTCCGAAATTAAAGGAATATTCATTTACGATAGGTTCAGAATGTCACACAGCAGAAGCAAAACAAATCAAACATTCTTGAACAGAAAACACGAGTATATATTAGTTATCATCGTCGTGTACTTACCTGCCTTTTTAAGAGAAAGCTGATGCCGAAAGCCAAATCGCCGATAGGCCACTTTCCCAAAGTTTCGGAGTAAGTAAATCTAAGTGTTTCCGATAGAGTTGAAATTGTTTCTAACCAAGTTGCGGGTGCTTGTATAAGCCTATGTGACACTCTCTCAATCCCTAACGGAGCTTGTACCTCACTCTCGCTTTCGTCATCATCGCCAGCTGTAGGATTCGATTGCAGTTTTTTGTTTAATGTGTAATACAAAAGTGCGGCTGCACCTGCTGCTGTCGCCATTGTGGCAGTTGCCATTAGTCTCGGGTTCCTATGGTGAAAATTAAATTAGAAACGCGACCAATCAATACAAAATGCATTAATAATTTATTATACATATAAATATTATATAATAAGAAACGGAAGGCAAGCAATCAAACAAGTGAGAAACTAGAATCGACAAGGGAAACGAACACAGCTGAAAATCCTTCATCAATTTCCAACTCCGAATAAAAGGGTAACAGTGCACAAAATGTAGAATCGACTACTGAGGAATACAATGAAGTAGATAAAACAACGAAAGCAAGACGACAACAGAAAAACGAAATGGGAGTAATGATCATTCACCGAACATAGCAAAACAACAACTACACATAATGATTTTTTTTCCACAAACAACACTCCCATAGGCACAAATCATTCAAAAAATTACTCCTACAAAAAAAAAAAAAAAAAAAAAAAAAAAAACCAGCAAAATCCTTTATACGATCGTCATCAAATCACAACAATATAATTCATAATTTATTGAATAAATTAAAAAAAAAAAAAAAAAAAAAAAGGGTAAAACCTTCAAAAAGTTTGAAACAATTATGCGCAAAATCAGAAGAGCAAAACTCGACAAAAAGCGGTAAAGGAAATTAACCTGAACATAATAAAAATCTGGGAAAGCAAAACCCTAAAAAACCCAACTTTGGGAGGCATTTATTTAAAATTTGGAACAATCACGCTTCATTTCAGAAAAAACCAAAAAAAAAAAAAAACCCAAAAATTGGAAAAAAGAAAAATAAAACAAATTAAAATTTGAAAAAATGACGGACCTGAATTGTTGGATGGGTTTGAGAGAGATTCGATATTGGGTGGCGCTGATTTTACCTTCGATTATAAGGCATCCGAAAATTATGTTAACAAGGAAAGTTTAGTATACAAATCTGAGGCGCAGCCAACAAAAATAAATCGAGGGTTTAAATTAAAAATTAAAACTAAAATTAAAAAAAATCCTTAAATTTTCACTAAATTCGGGGGAATTTTAGGTTGGGAAAAGATTTGGGGGTTAAGATTTTCTTCAATTGGGGTTTTTTCCATTTTAGTATTATACGTTTTCTTTAGAGTTTATTTAATGACGAAATCTTCTAGGCTGCCCCTTCGTGTCATTTTTTGCCATTTTTAAATAATAATTTAAAAATAAAATATCCTAAAACTATCTATATTATTAAATTAGTAATATTGGTAGCATTAAAAGTTGGGATTATTTGAGAAAACCCCCTCATATGCATTGTATCATTAGACTAGATCCTTTTTTTTTCCTCACTTTTGAGATAAATCCAATTATATTTTATTCAGCAAATTATATTATTAATAACCTATTTTACCCTTTTTCAATTTCTTTTAACCTACCCACGTCTCTCCTCTAGCCATCTCTCTCGTTCTCTTCTCTCCCTTTTCTCCACAACTCACGCTCACCCCCTCGCCTCCCTTACCAGCCCCCAAAACGGGGCAAGACGTTTGGCCTCTTCCTCCTCTTCGCCAGCCAACAGTTAGTCGGAGTCGATATGCCCACCACACCAAAGGCGGCAGCCACACCTCACACATCTGATCTATGCCATCTGGCTTACCCCTTCTCGGCCGTCGATGGTTTGCCGGTGAATGCTTCGTCGCCTATTGAAATTTCTGAATTTATTGGTAATTTAAATTGAAGATTCGACAGATTTTTTGCAGTTTGTAATTGATCATTCAGTCGCCAAATTGGATTTTTGGGTTTTACTAATTTTTTAAGTTTCTCGTTTCTTTTTTTTCCTCTATCAATTTTTGGCATTTTTTGTTGGATTTATTTCAACATACCAATCTAATAAAACCATGTCCGTAATTTATAAATTAAATGGGCGTAAATATTGAATCTGTTGAATTAATTAGGTGGGCAATGGTAATTGTCTTCGGGTTAACTTTAGGTTTTGTCATTTTTTTTTAAATTTTTGTTGTAGTGAATCTCCGTGAAATTGAAGAGGCATATTCAACCACGTCTCATATAATCACTCCTATGAATTGATTTAATATGTTATTCTTTCGGTGTTTTATAATAGCGGATTTTGATAAGACTATAGTGGATTTCAAGTTATTGTCCTTGTGTAGAAAAAAAAATGAGTGTTTGTGTAGCGGTGAAGGTGTGCAAAATAGTTGTTTTTGTTACCTTTGACAGTTGTTTTTTTCTATTTTCATGATAAGTTTTGCTATTTTTGCAAATTATTTTTATAGTGGATTAGATTAATATTTGAGTGAGTTTTGATATTTTTTGTAGTGGATTTTGATGAGATTGTAGTGGATTTCAAATTCTTGTTTTGGAGATCGAATTTTTTTTATGAATTAAATTTACGCATTGTCTTTTTTTTTTCTTTTTTTTCATGTTCTTCCACAAGCGGAGTGATGGCAGCAAGTGGGACGAGGTTGGGTGATGCTCGGGTGCCTCTACAATTGTCTGTGATGACGTTGTTTACTAAAGGGAATTTTTGTAGTGGATTTAGGCAGTTTTTTAGTGGATTTTCTCTTTTGTAAAGGTGATTTTTTGTAGTGGTTTTTGATGAACTTATAGTGGATTTTAGACAAAATATACCTGATACAGGCGCGAGGAGGAGGGGCTGTCGATGAGCTTACACTAAATAGTGGTTTTCGAACTCTCACGCGACATTAATAGTGGATTACGTTAGAGGGAAGGGGGTTGACAACGCGTACATTGAATAGTGGATTTCAAACAGTGAATAGTGGTTTTCAAATTCTGGTAGTGGATAGTGGTTTTCAAATTCTGGCAGTGAATAGTGGTTTATGTTAATTTTATAGTGGATTACGATAATTTTTCAGTGGATTTTAAGTTGATTTTTCTTTTTAGATAGTGAATGCTCATAAATTTTGATGTGTAGCGGATTTTATTTTTCGATAAACCTGTTGGAAAAATATGATTTTCAATAAATTTCGAAATATTTATAGTGAAATTCGATAAGTGAGTAGTGGATTTCAATTTGGTAAAGCGAAAAAAAAAAAATCAATAAAAAAATATTAATTAAAAGAATAAGCTGGTAAAAAAATATTTAAAAAAACAAAAAAAATGAAAAATAATAAACGAATAAAAAAATTGAAAAAACTAAAAATAATAAATAAATAAATAATTTTTTAAGTAAAAAAAAAATCAATTTTTTGAAAGAAAATAAAAATCTGAATGTGAGGATTTGCATACCTACGTATTTTTTAATTAATTTCCCATATTAATTAATCTTTAATATTATTATGAATATAATAAGGGTAAATAGGGTATTATGCCAAGTGAGGGGTTATCCCTAATAGTAAATAAAAAAATGGATTTATCCCTCTAATGAAATTGTATGAGGGGGTTATCTCATATAACCCCTTAAAAGTTTTATTTAAAAATCAAATATACTCGTTAATTATATATAGTTTAGTTTATCTACCGACTTATTATATAATTATATGTTTAATGAAATTAGGGGTAATATGCTACGAGGCCGTCAAATGAAACTTAATTTGAACTAAATAACAAGTTTAAATTCAATCTCTTAATTAAATTATTAATTTGAAACAATATATGACATACATCCTTAATTATTTTTTTATCCCTAAATTATCCTTATAACCTAAATCTTTTAATCTACATATTCATTCACGTTTTTTGAATTAAATTTATTTCTATTTCTTCTGTCCTCATTCTTTCTCTCTATCCCATCTCTCTCCCGTCTCTTCATTTCTCTATTTTTCTCTCCCTCTCTCTATCCCTACTAGTTTTTTGTTTGGAGAAGCAAACGGGGGTGGCGGCGGATGAGAAGGCGGCGGTGAAGTGGGCGGAACTGAATCTTAAGGCGGCGGCTACGATGAATCTATGGTGACGATGTATCTGAAGGCGCCGACGCAGTGGGTAGCGGTGGCGTGTCGGATCTATGGTGGCGGCGGTGGATCTGAAGCGGCAATGGAGTGCGTAGCGGAGGCGGCTTCGAGGGTGACGTTGGCCCAGCAGCGGCACTCGGAGTTCGAGAATGGTGTTGGTGGTGCGGTGATACTGGGGTAGGTGATTGCGGCGTGGGTGGGGTGGGTGGTATCCTTAGAGGCGTGGATGGGGGTGGGTGGCCTTTGGCGTCAATGATCTAGAGTTTGGTAGGTGGATCTAGGGTTTGGTGGGATGAATTCAAGATTTTCGATTTGATGTCTATGGGTTACTATGGGTGTCTGGCGGCTAGGGTTAAAAGAAGAAGCTAGGGTTTCAAGAATATGCTACCACAGATGTCTATGGATTACTACGGGTTACTACGGATTACTACAGTTTTCTATGGGTGTCTATACATCACTGAGACCGATTTTTTTTTTAAATTCATAATTTTCAATATTACGTAGAATATAATGGAAAAAAATAGATTCCTAAAATACTGAAAAAATGCGAAAATGAATAAAAAAAATAGTAATGTGTTGTACGTAAAAAAAATAATAAAAACATGTTCGATGCAAAATGAAAATGTTAAATGCATAATAAAATGATAAACACAATTTAAATATTACTTGGTGCAAATTTCATATTTTGTGTGTGGAGAGCCTTTTTGGAATAAGATTTATGAAGGATATGAAGCAAATGTTTAGTTAAACTTGTCATTTAGTTCTAATAAATTTTGTCACCAGGGACCTATATCCTAAGAGCCCATGAAATTATTATTTCGATGAGATTTGGAAATTTGACCCAACAAGTCGACCCACCAATAATTGCTTTCTAAATAATATTAAAAATAAAATTGCCAACAACAAATCAACATTTATGTGCATATATTATAATTTTGTATTTAAGGAAATCAATTTTATTAATTAATAAAATCATTGGGCCCTGATTATGTAATAAAATAGCCCAAATGATTTTGGAGGGGCCCGACCTAAGCCCTTGTGGTCAAAAACGAATTATGGGCCACGCCTTGTGTCGCAGGGTTTTTTTTTTACACAAGAATTTTCGTCTTCATGCGGTCTGGTTTCAACTCAAAATTAATTAGTCTTTTCATCGATTTTCTTCCTATAAATCCACAAGAACTTTGATCAACAAGTAAATGCAACAATCGACGAGTATACAACGAAAAACAGACATATACAAACACGTTTACAAACAATGTCGAACTTTATATTATTTCCACAAATATATAAATGAAGATCAAAATACGTACAATCACAAAATCAAATTTCGGATACTCAACAATGCAATATGAACTCCCTATGCTAGATGACTCAGATTTGTGGACTCGTAGCCATGCAAATACAAGGAGAATGGCAATTTACGCAGTATACTACCTTGGGACATTTGGCTGCATGCAAACCTTACATTTGGCTAACTATTGCAAGTTACAAGGGGCAGTTTCCATGCATTCCAAGCATCAACCTGCTCCTCAACTGCCCTCCAAAATCGTCAAAGAGTCAATTGTTGGGCGCCTGCCTAGTTGTCGTGCGCACACACACCAAACGGACGAGACTGCCCAACCGTACGTTTGCTAAACAGTCTGTCTATCTTGACCGCACATGCTGCCATCTTTGCCCGCATCGATCTGCCTAGACCGTCAAGACTCGGCCCATGCCAGCCTCACCTACAATCTTGTGCCTAGCTGCCAAGACTCACTTTTACTGAGTCTTGCCCATCGTCTGCTCGCGCAGGTTGTCAAGTCACGCTTGTGCCCAACCACGGAGAACCATTAATTATTGCTTTCTAGGACAAACACCTACAATTTCTACCTAACACTCAACCACTCATTGGTCAATGTGTAGTTGTCTCGTCTCATCCATCACTTGGCACCATTCGTCAACCATGACTTGGCCACACTCGGGTCATAGCCGATATCCCGCTCTAAGAGACTAACACATTGCTACTTGTTAGTTGCTACATATTCTCACAAAATCTCACAAATATTGTTTTTAATATAATCACTTTGATATAAAATAATCAATTATTTAATTAGTTGAACACAAAGGACCACATTTTCTACTAGAATAAGTATGCTCAAACTTTGGACACATAAACTCAAAATCCAATGAGATGGGTGAGTTAGATAGTGTCATGAGTTTTGTGGAGGATAGTAGGCCACATCATATGATTTGTCTTTATTATTATTATTTTTTTATAATAAGGTGTAAAACATTCTATTTGGGGCCATTTTTTGATTTTTAATAACGAAGTGACAATCAATCATACAAGTCCATTATAGTTAATTAAATATCCATTTTCGTGACTAAGTATTGTTTTACTTTAATTTGTGTTTAAGTAAAGTTAATTAACTTCTTGATTGGTGTGATTTTTTTTTTAATCTTTAACTTGTCTCCTCTTTACATTTATCCCGAGGAAATAAATATGTGAGAATATGTAGCTATTTTGTACAGGAGAAGCTCAAGGAAACTTAAAGATGGTGACAGCTTGAGTGACGTCACTAATTAAACATTCTTAATTAGCACGATTTACTATAATTAATCTTGACAAATTTTTGTTATGGAACAATGCATGGAATATCATTATATTAATGCAAAAGTATGACGTAATCCATGACAATTAACGCACATTGTTCGTACTTATCATAGGTTTATCTGGTGTACATTTTATTACACAATAATCGAATAATGTTAAATGATCGTTTGATAAGTCGATAAGCTTTTATATATGATAAGTTATTTTAAAAGCTGATAAACTAGCATATCTTATTTTTTAAAATTAACTGGAGTAGTATTTTTTCCATCCGGTGCACGGACTAACATTTGAATATTTAAAAATTGTAATAATTATTTAAATAGGTGACAATAACATTGTAATAGAAAAAAATTGTGCTCGCTTTGTAATAGTTCAAGAGCTCAAACGTGGGCCCGTGAATTTTATTTATTTACTATGTTATTAATGTATAACTCAAATAAAAGTAATATAAGTAATCATATTAATAATTTACTATTATTAATGTATTTATCCTTTTTATTTTTTCCCTCTTTTTACTTTAAATTATTTTTTATTGGCTCAGATATTTTGTAGCATCCTTAATTAGTAGAGTGATTAAAGCCTTAATGCAGCTTTGTTTAGTAGATAATCTCGTGTCAATTTGGCAACCCTTTAATATAATAGCTCACATCTTCGAGATTAACATCAGCTTATTACACGTTAATCAAGATTAACACTCTTCTAATCTCATGGATTACACTAATGCCACGACTGTATGTTCACCAAATTAATCTCTCTCTCACACACACACACACACAATCACACACGCACACACGTAGGAGAATGTTGTTACAAGTGGTTAATTACTGAGGTTTGAACCCTATATATATTAGAGTGTACGTACAAGTGGAGTACTTAGTCTTAATCAACAAGGATTTTCTCACAATTAATTCCTTAATTCTTCACTAATCAATCACTAATTAGCTGCTGCCTTTTCACTATTTCTCAGACACATCTTGATTATTCTCTTTAATCTGCAAAATGAAGGTGAGAAAATTAAACATGCCTTGGCTTGTTTTTTTTTTTTTTTGTATTACTTATATTAATGTTTTAATAATATATATATTTAATTAATTTTATTTTTTTGGTGCATGCAGTTCTTCAACTGGATGCAAAAGAAATTCAATGCAGGAGGGCAAAATGGTCATGATCATCAAATTACTACTAAGAAGAAATTAATAGAACCTTCCAAACAAGAGTTCAACGGATTAATGCTTTCTATCGGAACGTTCGGCAATAAACACGACGTCGTCGATCAACCTTCTTCGTCTCCTGATAATTTTTCGGAATTCACAGCCGAAGAAATAGTGAAGTTGGAGAAAGAGTTGACCAAACTTTTGACTCGAAAATCGGATAAAAATGATCATCTGCCGTTGGATAGATTCCTCAACTCCCCTTCAAGCTTATTAGCCACTTCGGATACATCATTCAGCACTTCTTTCTCGGACGATAAAGAAGACGAAGAAGAAGATGATGACGAAATCGATCGAACGGTTAGGATTATCCTAAAAAGATGCAAGGAGTTATCTCGGAACAAGAAATCAATAATCGGGAAGAAGTCGTCGCTTTCTTTCCTCGTCAAGAAAATGTTTGTCTGCACAGGCGGCTTCGCAGCAGCGGCTCCTCGTTTTCGAGATGCATTTCAAGAATCAAGAATGGAGAAGGTAATTAATTAATTAATCATTGCTTAGACTACATGCATCATATATGCACAAATATTTTTCTAGTTTGTAAATTAATTAATAAATTACAAAATATTCAGCTTTTGAGGACAATGCTGACTAGGACGATATTCCCTCGAAATTCTTCTGGAGCCTCGTCGACGAAGAAATTCATAGAGGAACGCAGGCGTAACGAAGATGAATCGCACGATCAAATTGGAGATGGATCGTCTAAATGGATTAAAACCGATTCCGAATGTGAGTTGCTTTTAATAATAAAAAAAAATTAATTAAAGAAAAATAGCAAATTATATTTGTTACTGACGAAAAAAATCTAATTTTCTGTTTTGCAGTTATTGTTCTAGAGATCTAGATCACAAGAGGACTTCGGTTATCGAAAAAAAAAAAAGAATCGATTTTTTTTTTCATGGTTGTATCCAATACAATGGATGCAGTCGTGTTTTGGAAATTAGATGCTACACTCGTTTTTCTTCTGTTTTGTAAGGAATGTTGGATAAAATTTTTAGTGAGTGTACTAGTCGAATAATTATTAATTATAACTTATTTACGATTTTGGAAAGTGTAGATTGGTTTGTGACCATTGATCTCTTCAACGATCAAATAATATCAGCCGTCCATTTTTTTCGAGTTTTGATTTTCACTGTTTAATCAACAGTTCATGGGTGGATCGGATCGGACCCGTAGTTATGCCTAGGATCGGACGAGGGCACGTTTTGAAATATAGAATTAAAAAACAATATATTTGATAGAAGGATCAAACATCTTACTAACTAAATAATTAATTCTAAATAATTAATTCTTAAGTAGAGATCAATTCAATCCCAACTAATTCAAATTAATCCGTTGTATATAATCGAACCAAACCTAACAGAAAGAAGAAAAGAAAAAATAAGAGCTCGAGGGACTAAAAGTGTTTTTGTTTCTGAATATGGGGACCAAAAACAATTTAGTTGTAAAATAAAGGACCAAAATGTAAATTTCATATAAGCAGCATTAACATCGTTTGGGTGTGAAGAAAATCTCACTCAACCCCCCGAGTTTGGGGATAATATACAATGCCCACCCACCATCACAAATTAGGGTTTCATTCTCCCAGATCTAATCTTCAATCAAAAGTCAACACCGATTACCTAAAGTTTCAATAACCTCAGCCATTCTTCCTTTATTTATTTTTTCTTCGAATTAGGGTTTTTAGCAGATTTATCAAGCAAAGTTCGGACCTTTTCTTTTCAGTCCTTTTTTTTTTTTTTTAAATTACTGGTTGGAGGTAAATTCAGAAAGGGCAAATTGCAGCCGCCAATGCGATTTGTTTCGTCGCAATTGTTTGATTATTCCGGTGAATTTTTTGGGGGGAAACCGAACAAATTGAAAGCCTTGTTTTGAGCTGATCAATGTCTTGGGCCGGGCCGGAAGATGTCTACCTCTCTACTTCTCTTGCTAGTTATCTTGACAGTAAGTCATATATATACATATGTATATGTATATTGATGTATATAATGCCTTAGTTTTTATGGTTATTAGAAATTTGAAGGGATGCATATTTGTTTATGGGTTTTTTTTTTTGAACTGTGGCATTGGTTCTTGAGTGTTTGGTGGGATTTTTATGCAGTGGGTCTCTGAAATTCTGTAGTTTGAGTTAAATGTGCCACGTGGATTGAACTATACTTGATTGAGAAAAGATGGTTTTTCGACAAAAAAATCCAGTGAATACTGTTAGATGCTTGATGCCTTTCGAGTCAGGAATGGGTCTCGTTGTAAAATTTTGGGATTGTAGAAATCGATAGGAAAATCTTTTCGTTGTCAACTGTGAAAGTAGTGCCTTTTTTTTCTCATTGTTCGTGTAAATGTCATAGCTTTAAGAGTTTATACGAACACTTAATCCGTAAGTGATATGCCGCTAATGTTTATGCACGGTCGTTTCGCTTGTCATGGTTGAAACTTTAGCTATCTTGTAAATTAAGCTATTCATTTTTAGCGATTTTAGAAATGTCGACCAACGATAGTATCTTGTTCCCTTACAAAAGTCCTAAGCATCAGTTTGACTTATTGGTGTAAATATTTTCTCTTACAACTACTAATTTTCGTTTAAAATGCTTCAAGGTGGAGTCTTTAACGATTTTCGTTTTCTGAGGTTCGGCTGTAGTCTTCTTTTTCTTGATAACAATTAATTCGTGGGTTTTTCATTTTTTTTTGTTGCTGCAACTTGCACTTTGAATTGAGATGTTTGTTATTTTTTTCGCCAGAGAAACTTCTTGTATTACTTCGAGACGGCCGGAAACTATTAGGGATTCTTCGTTCCTTTGATCAATTTGGTATTGAATTTTTGAATTTTCGTTTATATTTACCTTTCCTTGCCCCTTAATTTACAGATTATCTAACAAAAGTTTTGCTATCTTATGTAGCAAATGCTGTGTTAGAAGGTGCATGTGAGCGTGTTATTGTCGGTGATTTATATTGTGACATCCCATTAGGCCTATATGTTATCCGTGGGGAAAACGTTGTCTTAATCGGGGAGCTGGTAATTTTTCAGAAATTTACTTCCGTCAATTTTTTTTTTCTTTTTCTTTTTTTTTCCGGCTGGTATGATGTGATATGATTGGTCAGGAAATGGACAAGGATGAGCTTCCTCCACATATGACTCGTGTTTCAACAGAAGAGATAAAAAGAGTAAGCTCCACCCTGTGTTTTGTCCTATCTCTGTCGTTTAGAATTTCACTAAAACCTCGTTCGGTGGGCATGATTATCCACAATTAATTAAATAATTGGGTGTTATTTGATACTTGGTTAAGTCTTGTATTAATTTATTGGGGTTTTGTATATTGGACCCTCGTAAGATTGCATAATTAACTGTGACGGAAATTGTAACGGAATTTCCGAATTCCGCTAGCTCCGATCCAAATATTTCTGAATTCCAAAAGTTCCGGTTGCAATTTTTTTTTGGAATGGAATTGGAATACATATTAGATTCCCAATTCCGAATCGATTTTAATTTTCGAAAATTCCGATTTTTTCCCAAAAAATACGCATTAAATATCAATATTGTTATGTATTTTATATTATAGGTGACTCAAAAAAATGAAAATCCTAAATTCCACCGATTCCGATCTGAAAATTTCCGATTTTAGAACATGTTTTTCATTCCAATTTCCAAAATTCCAATTACCGATTTTTGTAGGAACGGAACTGGAATTAGTTTTTTCACTTCCAATTTTTTTTTTTTTCTGGAGTTCTTCCGAAAGTGCTGATTCCGATCATGTCCGATTTCCAACCCTACACTTTTTATTAGCCTATTTAATTTAATTTTTTCTTCAGGCACAAAAAGCAGAAAGGGAGGCTTCAGAGCTCAAGGGTACAATGATAAAGAGGATGGATTTTCTCGACATGGATTAATTAATTACGCGTGTTCATATTTACACAGGCGCCACTTCCTAACTTGTCGATACCGCACTTTCTGAAAACATTTAACATGGATCCACTATTGCCATAAAAAAAAAAAACATCGCTTTCTCTCTCAACGGTCAATTCGCCTCCGCAGGGTTTAGTGTAAGATTTCATTTTCTGTTTAAGCATGATTTTTTCACCTGCGGAAGAAAACGGAGATTTTACGAAGAAACTGGGATTAGGTTTTCGACTTTTATTATGTTGTGAGAAATAGTTAAAGAAATCTGGGGTTCTTCCGTATATTTTGTTCTGGAAGGATTTCGGGTTTTTTCGGTTTAGTTTTGTATAAACTTATGATTATTTCAATTCTTGATGAATATTTCGTTTGCAATATGCGGTACATGCAAAATCGTGTGTGATTTCTACATTTTGTACTGATGAACTAATGATTACAGAAAAAAAAAAAAGAAAAAAAAAAAAGGTGAATTAGCAGGAAATTAAATAATTCTTAAACCAACCGACAACCACCGACTGGTGTTCCCTTACAACATGAGTTTCTAATTATCTGCTCCGCGTCCCCACCTTAACTCATTCTTTGGTCAGAGCCGCGATCGACTACAACCGGTTGCATCACTTGTTTTTTTTTTTTTTTTTTTTTTTGATAATTGATAGTTTAAATTTAAATCCAAATACGACCTTAACTTTTTGTATAATAGACAATTGTTACATATTTCGGATTTTATCGTCTAGGAAGCGGCAACAAACTAAATGGTACGACGGTAAATTTCTTGTTTTTTTTTTTCAATTTTTTAGGTTATTCTTTGTTGGTCAACACGAAATCCCCGTCTGTGATTCGGGGTCTGTGTTAAACAACACGAAATTAAAAAAAATTGAAAACCCAGGTTCCATGTGGAACAACACCGAAATAGCATAGTTCATTTTTTTTATTCGAGACATACATAATTTCAAGGATCGTAAAAATATAAAATTTTCTTCAAATTTGTAATCGTATGAGTCGAAAATTAGCGTCCAAATATTTTTTGTCCGTGACCTATCAATTTTAATTTTGCAAGTCTCATTTCAGTTTAATCAAATAAGAGTAAAAATCTTCAAATTTGTAATCGTATGAGTCGAAAATTATCGTCCAAATATTTTTTGTCCGTGACCTATCAATTTTAATTTTGCAAGTCTCATTTCAGTTTAATCAAATAAGAGTAAAAATGTTCAATCAAGGATAGTTAATTAGTAGAGTTAGAGAATACGAATCAAATGACCTGAATTTGAATCTTATTTTGCAATGTTTATAGGTTGAGTTTTCACATATAACTTATGTTTGATTTTTTTTTAATGAATGAACTCGTAATCAACTATATAAGTGTATTGAGTAAATCTACACTTGTATAATAGTTTAATCTTAGGTATTGTAGAGGAATGAAGTTAAAGTGATATAGAATTAACTTTGTCTGTGCGCTCGTCGCAGAGGATTGGAGCCTCCTGCACTTTGATGAGTCACTTGTTACTTCTCAACTCTTTTCGGCTACACTGCTTTGAGTATCAGATCTCTCTCTCTCCTCTCTCTCTCTCTCTCTCTACAAGGGCAGATCCACACGCCTGAGCTCAAGTCAACTTCTCGCAGTGGCAATGTTGCGCTTGAGCTCCACAATTACCATTCTGCCCCTCGCCGTCTTGCTGCTGCTCTGTGCTCTCCGTATCGAGGCGTCGGTGCATGAGTACTCCGGCGAGAAATTCGTCGGCAAAGGAAATGCATTCTTCGTCCACGGCGGAAGCGAGGGAATTTACTCTTCTGCCCCTGGGCTCAACGAGTCCTCCCCCGAAGACTCTTTTATCCGGTGAATTTCCCCCCTCTTTTATTGATTGTAATTTCTCCGCGCGATGCTGCTTGCATTGAATTTTTCCCCCCTTTTTTTTTTTTTTTTTTTTTTAATTTTAAAGTTGTTGCATGTTGTTTGATTTTGGTATTGTTACATGAAGGTGTTAGATCAGTGTGCTTTATGGAGATCCATGTTGACAATTGACTTTGAAATTTGAATAGATGTTTGATTGTTTGTGGATGTGGATGTGGATACACAAATGTGAGATCATACAGAAAAAAAATATGTGTGTATTTACTTAATAGTGATTTTTACAAATGTTGAAGCATTTCTAGTTTAAAAAAATTGATCAGTAAACTTAATCGTGCTTTCAGTGTTAATTAATCATGGTTAACCGGTAAGTGAGAGGTATTTCAGGAGCTAAAACTTATATTAACTCGAAAGAATAGATTAATGAACTACTTTCGTGGCAATCAAGTGGATTGTGATATTCATGGTACTAGAGAAAAGCATTTGCCTAAATAATTTTTAGTTCTAGATTTTGCCGAATGGGGATCAGCTTCTATGTGAAGGTAGCTGCTGAATTTGGACCTACCATTTTCCTCACCTGCTGCAAATGCGAGCTTATGGGGGTGGGTGACAGGCATTTTTTAAATTATGATTGTGGCTTGGAAAATGGAAATGATATGTATATACGTGTATATATATATATTTTTCTTTCGAAGTATGAAGAAAACTAACTGTACTGAAGTTGATTTAAGACCAATGAATAAATAATGGTTTTGTAAGACTTAGAGTTTGAACTCTGGCAACTGGGAAAACCCATGTGAGTAGGCTCGAGATATTAATAAAGATGTTCGTCTCAGAGGGCAGAACGATATTTTCTTTTCACAATTTTGAATTGTGCAATTTCATCATCCATCTTTCTGGAAGATTCCTGATTGTCAACTGAGCTTCTTAAGTTATCTCATGTAATTGATCTAGATCTGATTTTTTTATTTTTTTTTCATCGAAACTAGATTTGAAAAGATTATATTCCGGAGGCCACTGGAGCTTTCTAGTTTTAGCTCAGGATCAGTTCATGCAGTAGTATTTGAGGTGGATGACAGAGAGACGATAGGGGGCTCAGCATATGGAGGTCAAAGAGCTGTGTGCTGTACAGCAGATCTTGCAAAACTTGGAGTCTGCAAAGAAGGTCAAATAATTTACCGCCCATCTACTAATAACCCGGGGTGGCCTCAAATATATGGTGCGTCATTCGATATTGATATGACAGAGGCTATTCTTCACCCTAAAACTTTACAAATTACAAGAACTGGAATGTACAACCTGTATTTCATTCATTGTGATCCAAAACTTAAAGAGGTTTTCGTTGACGGGAAAACTGTCTGGAAAAATCCCACTGGTTATTTACCTGGTAGAATGGCACCGCTCATGAAATTCTATGGGTTGATGTCTTTCGCATTTGTGCTGCTCGGGGTCTTCTGGTTTTCACAGTATGCTAGATTCTGGAGAGAAGTTCTTCCTCTACAAAATTGTGTTACACTCGTCATAACATTGGGGATGTTTGAAATGGCTTTCTGGTACTTTGATTATGCGGAGTTCAATGAAACTGGAGTTAGACCAACTGGGATCACTGTCTGGGCAGTTACTTTTGGGACAGTGAAACGTACTGTATCGCGATTGGTCATCCTCATTGTTTCTATGGGTTATGGTGTTGTCAGACCTACTTTAGGTGGTCTTACGTCGAAGGTTGTTTTACTTGGAGGGACTTTCTTTGTTGCATCTGAAGTTCTTGAAGTCATTGAAAATGTTGGTGCTGTGAGCGATTTGTCGGGGAAGGCCAGACTGTTTTTCGTGCTTCCTGTGGCGATTTTGGATGCTTTCTTCATTCTTTGGATATTTACCTCCCTCTCTTCAACTTTGAATAAACTTCAGGTATGAACTTACTCGAGCTAGAAAAAGTATGCTAATTAATGTTTGTTCAAGTGAAACTATCTGCTTCAACTTTTTTGTTAATTGATGTAACAGGCTAGGAGGATGACTGCCAAGTTAGATATTTACAGGAAATTCACAAATGCGCTAGCCATTGCAGTTATTGTGTCCGTTGGCTGGATTTGCTATGAGGTAATGCTGTACTGTTGGTAGTATATCTTAAGATGCTGATTCTCTATCCTTTCTCCAATACGTGACAACCAAAATTATAAGTAAAGCATATAAGTTAAATCAAGTCAAGTTTGTGGACAAAATTATATAGTTAGGATTCTGTTAAGAAATGATGATTGTCGTCAAAATTCTTTTTAAAATTTTGCTTATTTTAAAATTATCAAGGCAATAATATCCGAGCGAGTCGGAATTTCGTTGATGGTAATGAAAGAGTTTATGGGCTGACATAAATAATATTTTCATACTATTTCATACTTATGGTTTAACCATATTATGACACACCGTCTCGGATTTTGCAGCTGTATTTCAAGTCAAATGATGTATACAATGAGCACTGGCAGAACGCTTGGATAATTCCCGCCTTCTGGCAGGTCTTGTCGTTCTCCGTCTTGTGTGTCATATGTGCTCTTTGGGCGCCATCGCAGAACTCAACGAGGTAACATTCTTTGTTTAAATTTCTATAAATTGATTGAAAATCTAACCGAGCAAATTTGGTCCTCTTTTCTTTTTTTCTCTTGCTTTAATTTTATTTTTCGTATTGACAGATATGCTTACTCCGCGGAGGATGCGAGTGAAGAGTTCGATAGAGATGATACTTTGACACTCATAAAACCGTCACAAGTGGTCTCAAAGGATCTAAAGAGCCCCGAACGAAGATCAGTGGGGCCCGACAATGGTTTACCCGAGGGTGATATTGAGCTCGAAAAGACTGCTTGAGGTATTTAACACATACTGTCTCTTAAACCCCACGATTTCGTCAACATACATATATGGTAACTTCTGGACGATCATTAGAAAACTTCGTAGAAACTACTCTCGTCTTTTCTCTATTTCCTTTTTATTTTCATAGTTTTAATTTCTTCTCTTGTTTACCGATTTATCTTATTTTCCACATATCTTGTTGATTGAATTACATTACCTTGTTAGAAGTTATAATTGCAGTTTTGGTTACCGTGTGATTTCTTGTCTTCTTTTTTGAACTCGTATGGCTAAACGACGAGCCTGGTAGCGACGAAGTATTAGCTAGCCCTTTGCAAATAGGTTCGTTGTACTCTTGTTGAATCGGTTAGGCCAATAATTACATAATGAGCTTTTCTTGGACTGTTCTTTCTTTGTCTCCCCTTTTTGTCAAAGTGGAACCCATGTACAATTCTCCAAATCATTTAATCATTTAGGTCAGCATTTGGATTCAAGGATCTGAATTGAATACTTTTAAATCAACAAAATCAAATTGATTGACCTTATTTGCATATCAATTCATTTTGACATGATTTGAGTCGTTGTCATCGTGGATTTCGATTCCGTTTTCATTTTCTCCCCCTAACTTTCAAACAAACCCTTAAATTTTTATGTATATTTAGCAAATTTTATCAGCATAGAAATTGAAAGAAATAGAAATTCCATATTATGTTGCAATTTATTTGGGCTTTATTCGCTTCGGTTGATGGATCATTATTGTTCGATTTTAGAATAAAAGAACACTACAATTATGGCAAGTTGCGGTCACCCCTTGAGATTAGGTCAACTTACGCGAAAGTAAAATCCTCATGTTTGGTTAATTACAACCACTCCTTTAACTATGTATTCTCTTATCTAAAAACCCTCTCATTCAGTAGATAAATTTGAAAAACGTTAAGAGTAGATACATAAGATAATACAAAGTTGAAGGGTGATTGTAATTTTATCTAAACATAAGTCGGTTTTTTTTGTAATTTGACGTTACCTTAGTTGTAGCCATAATTTGCCCTTACAATAATTAAGCTTGAAACTAATCATATACAAACATAAATTTTTTTGTTTATTTTTCTTGAAATTAATAGAAATAATTAAGCTTAATTAAAAAAACAAGTCATAGGTACAATAAAGTGGCAAGGCACTAAGAGTTAAAAAGCTTGATAAGTGTGCGGAATTATCAAAGGTCTTTTTATAGAAGCTGTAAACAGTTGCAAAGAGGAAAGATCATAGTTTGAAAAAGTCTTTGATTTGAAATTGAGGGAGTCAATTAATCTGCACTGCACATATTTCGTTTTATTTATTCACTTTGGACTATTCTCTTTTCTTTTTTTATGCCTAAAGAAAATTCCTCTGATCTAATAAAGTCAATTTTGACCACGTACAAACATATAGTTTTATTACACGTAGGAAATAAAATAGTATTATTCGTCAAAGACAGCTCTTTTACTTTGGAGTTTGGACAATTGACTATTCAATACAAGTTACTAGAATTTATGTATGTAAAGATCACAGGTCAAAATCCAGGTACACGTGAACATGATTCTATTTTGGGATGGAATCAGAAAAAGGAGTCGAAATTTGACTGAGTGGATCAAAATTAACTTATTCGAAAAAAGAAAAAATAATAATAAGATCAATTTTATTCCAAAAAATATGAATTGAAAAAAAAAAATTGGAACTAAATCAAGGGCAATTAGATATTACACCTAGTTATTTACATTTTGAATTTGAACCGTAGATCTACATATAATCATACACACTCATATGTATGTGTGCTTAGTAGTACAGTTAAACCTCTATTAATTAATACAATTGGGACTAGCAAAATTCTATTAATTTAGTGAAATATTAAATTATCGAACTAAAAATTTAGTACGTTTTTACCGAGTTGGGGTCGGAATAAACTATTATTTACGCGATGTTATTAATTTATCGATATTTTACTGTAGTTCTTTAATCAAATTTATGGTTTAAAACACCCGTAGTAAATAATCAGGTGTAGAATTGACGTTTATAATAGCGTTGTTTTGCCACAACCAAACTCATTAACTAGTTCAAGATCATACATAAATAATTGTGTGAGTATTTCACAAACACACAAATACAACATATTAATTCCCATATATATACACAATCGAATGAAAAATAAATAAAATAAAATAAATCTAAAAAGCTGAGGAAGTACAAAACAAACAAACAAACAACAAATGCTAAATTTTCTAAGTGACAAAACTCAAACTCCACTCCTCTTTCTTACTCGGATCTCCTCCGCTGAAGATGTTGCGACACCGAATACCCCTCGAAGAAATCCAACACCGCGTTCTCGAGATCCTCCACCGAGTACTTAATATAATTCTCCGGGTGCTTCCCCCTCTCTATCGGAATCCGGAACCTCCCAAGAAACGATCTATACGCCGGAATAATCCTCTCCGATATAGATATCCTAAGTTCCTCCCTGAGCTGATTATCCGGCACCAGCCACATTGCCTGAGTTCTATGCACCTCCTCGAACATGGCGTTGAATGCTTTGAACCTCTCCCTCAAAGCACTCCTCGATGCACCCGAAGAGAAGCTTCCGCTCATATGCAAACCCTCGTCTCTCAAGCAGTACAGCACCCTCACCAACGTGCCCCGCTGGTAATTGGTGGCGGCCGATCGGAATATTCCGTTCAGTTTTCTTAAATAGCCGTCTCCGATCATTTCCCTTAGCTCCGGCGACCCTTTGATCTTTTGTACAATGTAGTGGACGTTGTTCATCATGAACAAGTGCGATAATGAAGCGTCCTTGTAGTGCTTGGACTTGTTTTCCAAATTGAATTGTAGAATTGCAATTATCCAAATTAAATGGAGGGCTAAACACGAGGATTGATTCTCGTATTCGGATAGATCCATATCCGGTACGGATGGGTCGCCCGATCCGGCTGAGGGTTTCGAGACGATTAGCTCGATCAGTGTCTTTTTGTAATCGGAAATCAAGCTGATGTAGTTCATTACGTATCTTGTTAAGGGGTGGATTGTTCCTCCGGGGACTGGGGTTTTCGAGGGCTCGAGAAGAATTGCGTTCTCGAATTCCGATAATACCCCTCTTGCGGCATCGGCTAGGTTTGAGACTATCTCGGCGGATTTTAATCTGATCGATTCGCTCGATTCCGAATCGAAAATTGATTCGATGTCGGGGGTTAAATTGGATAGAGCGTCGTGTAAATCCAATATTTTGAACAGTTTTTCGGGAGATTGGTTGCTGGTGCTAATGGCGTCGGCGAAGCTGAAGAGATGAATAGCGGGGGATTTAATGGTTTCCACGAAACAAGTGATTTCGGCCGAATCTCCCAAACCCTGGAATATGTGCTCGCACAGCCTCCTTTCGCCGGCGAAGAGAACGCGGACGCATATCCTGGCGGCGCGTGTCCAGCGGCGGATCTGCTTCTCCAGCGTCTCCCACTCGAGGCGGTGCACGTCGCCGGTGTCGGATTTCTCCACGCCGAGCTCCTTCAGGGACGCGTCCACGGCGGAGCTGCGTGCGGACGCGTACACGTAAATGCACTCGCGCAGGTGGCCGGCGGCGGCCATACGCTCCGCGATGCGGCGGAGATCGCGGACGGCGTCGGCTGGGATGAGATCCACTTCTTCTCGTGTACCCGCGTTGCTCTCCCGATGCTCCAACTGTTTGTCGGAGCTGCCGTCGGCCACCTCTTCCTGGGAATCGAATCCCGGCGATTCGAACTCGGAGTGAGTTGACTCAGTGAGCCACTCCGAGTCGAGTGGGGGAGAAGCGTGGGAGAGGAGGATGTTGCGGAACTCGAGGAGCGCGGAGGAGGAGTCGGACGTGGATTTCTGAACCTCATCGCCGGAGACAAGATAACGGTCCATCACGTGATGGTGTCCGGTGAGGTCCGTGGATTTCCGCTGACGGATTGTTTTCTCTACGGCGGCGGTGGTTGATTCCGGTGGTGACATGGGGTTTCGGCGTGAAAAGCAGGGGATTTTTGTTTAGTAATTATTTTATTCTTTTTAATGATGGCCGACGGTGGGTGGTGGTGAAAGAAAGAAACAATTGAAAATGGAGGGAGTGATTCTGCTCAAGTTTATTTTACATGTCCTCATTTATAATAATACTTTAATTTATAAAAATAATAATAATAAATCATATAAAAATAGTCAATTTGTTGAACAAGTTAAATTCGATTACACGCGTCGGAATAATTTTATTTAAATTAAATAAAAATTAAAATCAACATTTTTTTCGATTATGCACGGTGTATTAACATAGGCCAACCAATTTCGATCACATATTTTCGTTCGATAACCTATGAAATTTGGCTCGAGCTCGATTAAAAAAATTAATTATATGTACAAAGAATCAAACTACTCGAATTTAATTCATATTTGACTAAGTTAAGCCTCATTTGAGCTCGACTTAATTGCTTGTGAAAATCAAGTTCAAACACAATTTTAGAAGTTCGATAAGAATTAATTGCCTAAGAAATGTAACAACTAATTTTGTTTAATTGTAGCATATAATTGCAGACTAAAATATTTTATTGTGGGCTTAATTTAAGTTGAACTCCATGAACTAACGGTGATAACCGATGTTTAAAAACTCGTTCGAAATCGATTCATCAATGCAATGCATCAAACCATGAATTTATTTGTTCCAAGATCAATGATTGAAAACTCGTTCGAAGTCGATTCATCAACGTAACGAATCAAACTGAATATATTTCCATTCGATAAGATATACAACTCGCTACGTACGACTAGCAGAAGATAAATGATGTGCTGTGTGGTATGATTCTTGCACATAACTCGAGTAATCATCATTCGATAAGATATACAACTCGCTACGATCAACACTGTAATAAACCATTCATAACCCGACGACGGTACAAAACGGGTCGACCCGTAAACACTCGATCCGCCTAACGGCCTCCGTTAGGTCTAAACGGAGCTCCGGTTTGCTCTCCGTGCAAGCCGCACCAATGTGGAGCACTTTCTTCATCTCGCCCAACCAATCCTTGTCGCTTATTTCGATATCCGGGTCGAATAAATCTTCCTCTTTCCCCTCGGAAACCGCCGACTGCACCCACTGTACTATATCTATCCCGCCATGCTCGCCTCTGTTGAGATAAAACGAGGGGAATTTCCCCGTTATAATCTCGAGAATAACTACGCCTAGGCAATAAACGTCGCATTTGGGCGAGATGTAGCGGTCCACGAGGGCCTCGGGTGATTTGAACGCCGTTAGGGTTTGAGCTGCGCGGGCCCCACTTATCAAGGAGCAGAATCCGTAGTCCACGATCAACGGCTCGTACTCGTCGGTTAGGATGACGTTGCTCGATTTTAGGTCACCGTGGGGTAAGTCTAGTGACGAGAGCTGGTTGTGGAGGTACCCCAATCCTCTTGCGATTCCTTTGATTATCTTCAGCCTCACCGGCCACGTCAGCTCGGCATGGGAGCTGCCTCTGTCACCTGAAAAAAGAATTCAAGAAAACATTTTTGTTTTAACAACACAATTCATCGTCGCGTAAAAACGCGATGAAAAAATGATTTATTCGATAGTCGATCCCATTGTCGAATTCATTCATTCAAAAGTACTTCGTACTAAGCTAGCTTCGAAAAAATTGAGTCAATTCATCCGAACACATTTAAAAAAAAAAAAAAATCATTTATCTCGAACAATCATATATACTTTCGTATCGACTCGATAAATTTACACTTTATACGTACCGTGCAACAAAAATAGCAAATTGCCTTTGGGTTGATACTCGTAAACCAAGAGCTTCTCTTCTTTTCGATAATGATAAGCCAACGGCGCCAACACGTTCTCGTGCTTCAAACTGCCGAGCCTTCTCATCTCGACGTCGAACTGCTCTTTCCCCATCTTTGCCATCTCTTTCACTCTCTTCACCACCACCGTGAAACCGCTACCCATGGTGGCCTTGTACGAAGACCCTAAAGCTCCGTTTCCGAGAACCTCGGCAGCCGCCCTCATCAAGTCACTCATACCAAACTCGCCCTTTTCGTCGCTAATCATTACTATATCGTCTCCGAATTTCTTCGACGCCCTCCGGCTCGAGCCCGGCCCGTACCTGTCCCGGCCCGGTTCGTGCTTGCTCTTCCTCCTGATGCTCGACGCCCCCCTGAAACTATACGAATCGTCGAGCATGAAATCGAGGCTGCTGTCCTGCCTCCGCTTCAGGACGAATATCCCAATCACCATCAGAAGAAAAACGAGGCCCGACACTACTAGGATCCAGTTAACCACACTGCGGTAGTACGAACTGTTTTCCAACCGCTCGCTCGACGCAGTGATGGACGAGCTGCACGAGTTGCCTAGATGCGCACTGCAGAGCCCGGGATTGCCTCTGAACGAATCCGGGCCGAATTTCGAAAGGACCATAGGTATTTCGCCTTCTAAATTGTTGTTGGAAAGGTTGAGTGAAACTAGACTTGTTTGCTCGAGCGGCGGAATATTCCCGAAGAATCTATTGTCCTCGAGATGCAACTCCATCAAATGGAACAGCTGCGACAACGAATATGGAATCGGGCCCGTGAAACTATTCCCGGACAACCAAACCTTCTTCAACCCCATCATTTTGGTGAAATAATCCGACGGGATCTCTCCTGAAAACCCGTTATCAGAGAGGTACAACCCCTTCAAATTAACCATCCGGTGGAACTCCGGTATGGGGCCCGCGAAAGCGTTCGACATGAAGGCGATACTCCGAAGGCCCGAAAGCGGGACCAATGCGTCGACGTCTATCTTACCCGAGAGGCCCAAATTCCCGAGACGGAGGCTCGAAACGACTCCGCTGCTGTCGCATATCACGCCGATCCAACGGGGCCCGTTCTTGGAGCAGGGCTCCGTCGTCGGATTCCATGAATCGAGAGAAGTTGCGTTGGTGAAGGATTGCTTGAGCTTTAGAAGAGATTCAGATTCAGAAATGGAAGAAGTTGTTGTTGTTGTAATGGAGAGAAGAATGTAGAAGAAGAATATTGATGATCCAAGAACATGAATTATGGCCATAAAGGGCAATTTAAAAAAAAATCATAAATAAATTAAAGAAGTATATTTTCAGGGTGATTTTGTTTGAGGAAGAGAAAAGACTTTGGGGGAGGTCTGAGTCTTCTTTGTTTGACCGTTGGAAAACCGTTTTTGTCGTTGTGAACTGCAATAACTACCTCCTCATTTCAATTTTTTTTAAGGGGTAATGTCAATTCGGCCCCTAACAAGGACACTTAATTAAAAAAGGGACATCTAACTTTTTTGTCTTTCAAATAAATCCAACTCATTCAAACTTATTTGCAAATAACGAAAATCCCTTTATATATACCAAAATTACCCCCAATTCATTGAAACCTAATTTAACTTCAATTTCATGATTTATACCCCAATTTAGCCCAATTTCATCAATTAACCAATTTTAACCATAATTTCAATTTCGACCCAATTTTGACCCGCCACCACCGGAGACCGCCGGTCGCTGCCGTTGACCGGCGTTAACTTTTTTTTTTTTGAAATTTTTTTTTTCCTGAATTTTTTTTCCGGCCGGTCAACTGTCGTTGACCGCCGGGTCACCGGCGTTGACTTATTTTTATTTTTATTTTTTTTTATATTTTTTTTTTCTTAAAAAAAATATTTTAATTAATATTACTGTCTTGGCTGCTAAATTACTGTCTCCGGCAGTTATTTAACTGTCGGAGACAGTAATTTAACTGTTAATTGACTCTTTTGTTTTTTTTTCTTCAAAAATATTTTAATTAATATTACTGTATTCGTTGCTAAATTACTGTCTCCAACAGTTATTTAACTATCAGAGACAGTAATTTAACTGTTAATTGACTTTTTTATTCTTAAAAAAATATTTTTAATTAATATTACTGTATTCGTTGCTAAATTACTGTCTCCGACAGTTATTTAACTGTCGGAGACAGTAATTTAACTGTTAATTGACTTTTTTTTTATTTGTTTTTTTCCTTAAAAAAATATTTTAATTTAACTGTCGGAAACAGTAATTTAACTGTTAATTGACTTTTGTTTTTTTTTGTTTTTTTCCTTAAAAAAAATATTTTAATTAATATTACTGCCTTGGATGTTAAATTACTGTCTCCAACAGTAATTTAACTGTCTTAGACAATAATATTAATAATATTACTGTTCGCAAAAATAATATTCATAATATTACTGTCCCAAACAGTAATATTACTGTCTGAGACAGTAATTTAGTAGCCAAGACCGTAATATTAATTAAAATATTTTTTTTCTAAGAAAAACAATTAAAAAAAAAAAATTAACGCCGGAGACCGGCGGTCAACGGTGGTTGACTGGCCGGAAAAAAAATTCAGGAAAAAAAAGGTTTCAAAAAAAAAAAAAGTCAACGCCGGAATCTGGCCGGAAAAAAAAAACATTTCAGAAAAAAAAAATTATGAAAAAAAAAAGTTTTGGGGGTTAATGTGATTTATTTGTTTAAATTCGGGGTCAATGTGTAATATTAAGGAAGTTAGAGTATAATGGGTGGAATTGATAAGAATTATATTATTGAGGGTATTTTTGACTAAAGACATGGGGATGGGTTTAATTGAGAGACTGTTTTTCTGGTGGACCAAAATGCATTTAAGTTCCATGTGATGGGTCATTCAATGTGCACCCTATTATATTTTTCTTAAATCATTCTCCGTAAAACACGTGGGACTATAGCACCACACTATTTAAAAGTACCAAACTCTATATTATCGACTATTCTATATTATCGACTTCAGTGGCAGAACCAGGATTTTATATTAAGGTAGACTAAAGTTTACGAGTTTCAGGAGAGTCATCCCGAGGACATACTCGTGATTTTTTTTTTTTTGTTAGACAACAATCAAACTTATTATCATCAATCCACACTATTTAAAACTTTCTTTTATCATGTGATGTTTGACTTAAAATGGAATGTTAAGTACCAGTCGTGATGTTCATGTAAGAGAATTCAATGTATTTTTTTTTTTTTTTTTTTTTTGAAATGTATCTACTTGAATCAAATTCCATTTATTTGTGGGTCAATTCAGTAGCTAGTAGTACATCATTTTCATTACTCCAGTCCCAATAGTTAGGTAAGAAACACAATCAATATAAAATATATCATTTAGTACTACTACCACATAAAATTTAATTTCATTTATTTATTCTCGATGTATGGTATTCATCAAACGCATACATTGTAATTTGTAACCATAGTATTGCATTTCAAATAAAAGAATAATTACTCGATCAATAAATAAATAACGACCCCAAAAAAAAAAAGTTGACTCCTCGTGTTTGATCAACATACAATTTGTATGAACGTGACTTGATTCATAATCAAATCAAAATCACACACGACAATTATAATCAATTTCATCAGACAAATAAGGTGCGACGAACTTAGTCTGAAAACTAAACGAAGAGAAACAAAATTAGGTTTACCCCAAAATTCGGTTGATTTGGCTGTCCATTTGTCGTGTAGCGAGAAGGGCATCGTGGTAAATAAACATAAAAAGTCTACCCGCCATCTTTTCCAACTCATAATCTCAATATATATAGCCTCGTGTTTCATGTTCGTCCATCTTAGCTACTTTTTCAATTATTTCTACTAGGATAATATAAGTACAACAAACTCAATTTAATACCAGCCGTCCGATCAAGAAACCATTTTTTTTAATATTTTTTTATTCAATAGTTTCTTGGCAATTATCACGTGAATAATATTAAAACTATTAAAAAAACCACTATTTTTATTCAGACAAAAAGCAAGTTGATAAAAACCTTTATTCATCATACCACTATAAATGTTCGCCCCCCCGCCCCCCCCCCTTTTTTTTATTCCCATTCCACTGCAAAATTCTCCAACTTCACTTAACATAAAAATAATTCTTTCTCTTTCTCATATTTTCTTTCTTTTCCGGCGAGCATGTCGGGTTTCAGACATCTTTCCGGCGACCGGAGGCGAGGAAAGTTGCCGGAGAAGTCCAATTTTGCACAAACATGCAATCTTTTGAGTCAGTATATTAAGGATAAAGGAAGTCTTAGAGATTTGAATCTTGAAATTGGTGGAAAAATCGAGAGCCTCGAAAACATAGGTAAATTAGGTTCTCGATCAATCTCGTGTCTTTATTCGATTTTCGTCTTAATAGTCTTGCGGTTTGTTTGATCCTACCTAATGAATTTTATTGCGTATAACTGATAATTACTTATTTTGCACGGATCCACATGTATGTGCATGATTGGGTGTAGATCTGATCTACGACGTAAAATTGTGCGATGTACTTTAGTGTAGCATCTATAACAACATATTCCGTCTACTATTCCATATGTGTGAAATTTTACAAGTTTCAAAATTGCACAGTTTCTTGCATTAAAAGGCAAAATCTCTCGCCCTCGTAGCCCAATCCCCTGGTCCGACAATTTTTTTTTTATGGAGGAATATTAAATCATGGTGACTAAACGACTCGTTTGGTAACTTAGTGTGAGTATAATACATTGAATTTGATAGATCTGCCTAATTTTGGCTTAGATATGTTGAAAATTTTCAATTTTTTTTATTTTTATTTTTTTATTTTGGGAAATGAATTTATTTTCTTTGGCTGGATTTCAGTGAAGCAAGGATCTTTTTGTCACGAATTCACAAGGTTCTTTCTTTCTCTCACTATATAGATTTCTTCAATCTATTTTGACTGAATATAATATTTGATTATTTGATAAATTGCAGCAAAGATGCGGCGGCACCGACGGATTCCGCAGCTGCCGGCCAGTTGACGATTTTCTACTCCGGCGGGGTTTTGGTGTTTGACGATTATCCGGCTGAGAAGGCTGAAGAACTCGTGGCGTTTGCTGCAAATGGTGGTGGCAGCGGCATTTTGTCGAACACATCGTGGGCCAAACCGAGCTCCGGCGGTGCTGCCGAGACTTCTACTCCGGGAGAGAGCCAGCTTCCGCCGCGGCCTGGTTCCCGTAAGGCGGCTGGTGTTGGCATTACGTCGAACACCGCGAGTGGTGGGGCGGCTGAGGTGCCGCCGGTGGAGAACCGGGGTTCTACGCTGCCTGAGGCTAATGATTCCGGTGATTAATTATATTGATAATTATAAATTATTCTAGCATTTTTTTATTATAAAGTGTTTTTTTTTTTCAATTTAAAACAAATATTTAGCGATTTTTTATTTTTGTTTTTGTTTCATTGTTCTTTTTACAGATTTGCCTATTGCGAGAAGATCATCACTTCATCGGTTTCTCGGGAAGAGGAAAGATCGGTATGTAACTTTTACCCTTTCATTTAATTAATTAATTATTTTATTTTACAGTAAATTTGAGGTAATATTAAATTAAAAAAAATATTCTTTATACTCTCAACTAGTAATTTTCTTACACGTCCATCCTTGTACTGTCAAATTTAGTGGAACGTTCTAAATAATATGGAATATTCTTCAGTTTGTACCCGTTTTACACTATTCGAGCCCCACATTTTGGAACAAAATGATCATAAGATCTGTGTCTCTTGACTTGTAAATATTAGATTGTGGTGCATCATAAACTGCATTTTTGCACAAAATGAGTACAAACTAGAGAACATTCACGAAATCTGGAAAATTATGTTGAATTTGACACTATAAGGATGAACGCATAAGAAGATTCATAGTTGAGGGTGGTTGCAATTACCCGAATATAAATAATTTTTTTTGTAATCTAACCTTACCTCAGGAGTTGCCCCTAAGCTAATTATCCTATTTTTACATTATTTTTTAATTTATTTATTGTTAATTACGTCTATTGTTATAGAGCTGCTGCTAGAGGGCCTTATCAACTTCAAGAACAGCCAGCCTCTTCTTCCAAGGGAGATGAACATTTCGACCTCAACTTATAACAATTGCTTCTTATTATCTGAAAATTATCACGTATATTTTTTTTTTTTGTATTTTTTAAGGAGTATTAATTATTATACGGCCAAATTAATGTGCAATTAGATCTATATCGTTTTGTTATTTGATGCGGTCGTGAATAAGATATATTTGATTCACGTCAAATCTTCTTAAGAGATGAACAAATCGAATATGTCCGTGAATCATTATACGAGTCATAAACAAGCGTTAGCGTTCGGAGCTTAGTCCCGATAAAAATTATCCGGCGCTTAAGTCATTATATGAACTCCAAAGAAAACTTCTTAAGAATGTGTTAGTATAAAACAAACCTATATCATACACACAGTTATTAGAAAAATAAATCCATAATAGAAGAAAATTACTATAGTACTTTTAATTTAAAGTTGATTTATATGCATATAGAAATCAATCTTTACTTAGTTGTAATAATTTACTTGTTAGAACAATAGTATGTTGCAACTATAATTCTTGTGTATATACATATTATAACTACTAAAAGCAGAATAAATAACACGTAAAAATTAAAGTGGTTGGTATACAAGAGTGACTTACATCTATGAGGACCTACAAACAAGATTTCAATAGTTTAGATTTACATTATACATTATATATGACTTATTAAAAAAATATTAAAAACTCATTAATTTATTTGACTTATATATGCACGAGATACGCTCTTTCAAACCCGTAAAGAAATCGATCTTTAGGAAACACAACCATACACGATTTCTACAAATAATTTACATAAGTATAAAGATTCATAATCTAAAATAATTATATGAAAATAATATAAAATCATAAATAATTAACAAAATACGTGCTTTAAATAATTATTACCAAAATAATAACCACGCAAAAAATTATATTGCGATAGAAATGATGGGCCTACCGAGCAAAGCCCATTTAAATCCACACCTCACTGTTTATTACCGCGTGACAGTGGGACCCACAAGCATCTGAACGAGATATAAATAGGCCTAACAAATCCAATTAATTCTCCCCCTTTCTGCGAGGCAATTTTCTTTTTTGTCTTTTTTTTTTTTTTCCTTCTTCATTTTCTCCCCCCCCCTTCATTTTTCTTTCCTTTGTTCGCTTTTTCCCTCGCTCTACAAACCCTAATCGTAGAGAATCCTTTTTTTTTTCGATCAATTTATTTGGATCGGTTTCTTCAGTTAAATTGAATCGAAAATGCAGAATCAGAGACTGAAGCAGCAGCAACAGCAGGCTTTGATGCAGCAAGCTCTCCTTCAACAACAGTCACTTTATCACCCTGGCCTCTTAGCTGCTCCGCAGGTTCGGTTTTATTTTTATTTTTATTTTTTTTGTTATATGTTTTTTTTTTATGTAATTTAATTTTATTCTAATTCTGGTTGAAGCGACGCGATGATTTATAAATTATCTGTTCGTATTTGGTATGCTGGAGGTGTTGATATATTTATGAATTTATTTGTTCTATTTTCGTGCCGAAACTTTTCCGAAGTGCTGGCCTTAATTGGGCAATTTTACGTTTTATTTTTCAAGTATGGGATTTTTTGTCTGTCTTGAGGTTGAGTTTTTGGCTGGTTGATTGTGTGTTGTGTTTTCTGGACATTGGGTCCACCGATTTTTGGTTCCGTTTCATTAGTGATCAGTTTATCGAACTGCAGATGGTTTAAGAGCGTGTTGTGGATTGTCGTGGATTTTTGTTTTCTATTAATACCTGCTTTTCCTATATTGTACAAAATAGTGAAGAGCCTTTAGAGGAAATGTTTTTATGTCCAAATTATGTTCTTTTACCTTAAAAATTCGTAAAATAGGAATCTTGGAAATTTTACATGATAAAGTACATAGTGACCTTAGAATAGCTTTTGCATTACAGTTTTTTGTCTGTTATGCTCAATTCTGTGGAAGTACACAAGCGTGATGTTTACTTCGAGCCATTTGTGTTCAGTTTAAAATGTAACGGAGGCTTCTAGAAAGTGGTGCTCCCTGAATTAGGAGGATAATGGAAAATAAATGTTGTGAACAACATGATATAATTTTATCTAGATGGATATGTCTGGTGTTCGAGAGAGAAAAGAGAGCAAAATTATGAAATTTATTTGGAGATGTTTTTTTTTTTCATTTTTGGTTGTGTAAGCTAGTAACTTGGCAGCAAGAGATTGATTGCTGCATAAAAGGAAAATAGTTTCTGCATCATCAACAGAGACCCAGACTCCTAAAGAAATATTAAAATGAAAACAAAAGACACAGAGCCTTTGCACTGAATTGGAGATGGGCGTGGTCAACTAAACTGATAGCAACTAGTTATACAGTACAATTAGAAAGAGAACACCTTTGACTAGAAAAAAATATCCTGAACATTGCTTCCCTGGTTTAGGTTCTTTCCCATGATTCAATGAGATATGTTTGTTTAAGTGTTGGAACCTTTTAAGCACATTTTGCGTGGGTAAGATTTGAACAGAATGTCGGTTGGGAGTCTAAGACAGACATAGTTTGTACCTAGGGAACGACACTTGCCAGTTTTCGAAAAGTAAATGGCATTTGTTCCATGATGAAGATTGATTTATAGCCGGCAAGTGGTGTCATTTCTGAATTTTTTGGATGTTCTAGTTGTATAATTTTGTTAAGTAGAACAAATCAACTTTTGACTTCTCCAGCTTTTTATTCCATATCAATGGTAGTTCAACACCAATACTGTGTAAATGGGTCTTTTCTCTTCCAATTTTATTCTTTGTTTTTATTTATTTATTTATTTCTTTTCATTTTTTTAAAAAATTTGCAGATTGAGCCAATCCCAAGTGGAAATCTGCCTCCTGGATTTGATCCAAGTACATGTCGCAGTGTGTGAGTGTTTTTCGAACAATTTATATGTTATTTTTCTTCCTTCTTTTTTTTTTTTTTGCTTCAAGCTGTATTCAGCTGGTATGTTTTCTATTTTAAGTCTCAACTCATAGTTAATGACTTGTGCAAGTCTTGGCACCAAAATTTCGCTTCATGTCCTGCCCAACTATTTACTTACCAATTTCAATATTTGTGTACAGTGGTGTATTCATGTACATCTTTGTTTTAATGTTGTTAATTTCTTCCGATATTCTCTATGTGACTGTCTCTTGCTTATTTGTATGATACCATATCTTATAAATTCATTTATTTTCTTTGTTTTTTTTCTTCTTTTCAATCTTCTAGGTTTTTTATTTTTGAGATAATGCAGGTATGCTGGGAACATTCACCCACAGGTGACCGAACCACTTCTTCAAGAAGTTTTTGCAAGTACGGGTCCTGTGGAGGGGTGTAAGCTAGTTAAAAAAGATAAGGTGGAAGTTATATTAGTTATTCTTGTTATCGTCGATATTTATGCACGGCGATCTCATTCTGTAGATTCTGTATGCTGACATCATCTCGTTTTGTGATTTATGCAGTCATCCTATGGATTTATTCATTACTTTGATCGTAGATCTGCTGCACTTGCAATACTGTCCCTCAATGGAAGGCATCTGTGAGTATTAATCATCGAAATGTGATCTTACATTCATGTGTAAATCAGAGTAATCTTATATTTTTCTGAATGCCAGGTTTGGGCAGCCTATCAAGGTTAACTGGGCTTATGCCACTGGTCAAAGAGAGGACACATCGGGTGGGTATATACATTAATGTTTTCAAACGTGCCACAGTTATTTGATTTAGCTTATATCCTCGCATTTCAACTGATTCTGTCTCATTATTTCTTATGCAGGTCACTTCAACATTTTTGTCGGTGATCTGAGTCCAGAGGTTACGGATGCTATGTTGTATGCTTGCTTTTCTGTTTATCCCAGCTGTTCGTAAGTATCTCGCTCTCTCAGTCTCTTTTTGCGAACTTATATGTCGCTTGTTTATATTAAAATAATTATGGTGTTTACATGTGTGTGTATGATTTAGTTTGGGTGCTGATTATCTCGAATTTGGTTTTAGTGATGCAAGGGTTATGTGGGATCAAAAGACCGGGCGTTCCAGGGGTTTCGGATTTGTCTCTTTCCGGAACCAGCAGGTATGTTTCAGTGAGTTATATCTGAATTTTCTTTTCAAACTGCTATTTCTTTGGCATGCATCATGTTTTTTTTTCTTTCCCCCAGGAGGCTCAAGGCGCAATAAACGACTTGACTGGTGAGAATACTTTGGGTTACATTAAATGTTAACGAAAAGAAGTTTTCTTGCTCAGAGTTATATGATTGCTTTATCTGTCGATTTCGCAGGAAAATGGCTTGGCAGCAGACAGATACGCTGCAACTGGGCCACAAAAGGTGCTGGTACTAGTGACGAGAAACAGAGTTCAGATGCTAAAAGTGTATTGGAACTTACAGGTGGCTCGTCTGGTGAGTAGTAGGTTGGACGGAAAATATAAAAGTAACTTTGAAAATTATGAGGATGAAATCATGGTTAGCAAGAAAAATGTATCATAATCTATTAGTTGTTTTTGGATTCTGCAGTAACATAGATTATTTTTTAAAATCTATCGGATGCGGTAGACTTCTGAAGCTTTTACGATTTTTTGTTATGGTCAAGTTATAATGTAACTGTGGGTGTCATAAATACTGATGGAGACTATTGCTTTTACAGAAGATGTAAAGGAGGCAGCAAATATTGATGCTCCTGAGAATAACCCTCAATACACCACTGTATATGTTGGCAATCTTGCTCCAGAAGTAAGTCTTCTTTCCTTATGCCTTACTATCATATTTCTTCTACCAAGTCGATATAGAGAATAAAAAAAAGGAAAAAAAAAGAAGAGAAATCTTCTTCGTCCTTCGTTTGAGAACTAGGATAGGACTTGGTTGACAATATAGTTATTAAGGTTTGACTCTTGATCAATCTTACGAAGAATATGTAGTACAAATTGAACCCCTAGTATTATACAATCCTAATAACCTTTTCAACAATGTTCCTAAATGGATTCGGCTGATTTGACGACAACTCTTATGTGAATATGATCTGCCAGATAAGCCAGGTCGATCTCCATCGCCACTTCCATTCACTCGGTGCTGGATCGATCGAGGAAGTTCGAATCCAGCGTGACAAAGGGTTCGGCTTTGTGAGGTACAGCACCCACGCAGAGGCTGCCATGGCTATTTCAATGGGAAATGCTCAGTCATATCTCTATGGTAAACAAATTAAGGTTTGTCCTTGTTCCATTCTATTTGTGTAATTAACTACATATTTCGCTCGACTCTTTAGTACGTAATAAAGAAGTCTATGGTTTTGTTTTTCACAGTGCTCTTGGGGTAACAAACCGACCCCACCTGGAACAAGCTCGAACCCACTCGTGCCACCTGCACCGGGACCCATGCCCGGAGTTTCTGCCGGGGATCTTTTGGCGTACGAGCGCCAGCTGGCAATGAGCAAGATGGGGGCCGTACACCCCCTTATGCATCACCAGGGGCAACATCCTATGAAGCAAGTGTCTATGGGAATGGGGGCCGGCGCTAGTCAGGCTATTTATGATGGTGGTTACCCCAACGTTGCTGCAGCTCAACAGCTCATGTACTACCAGTAATTTATCAATATTCGAGTTGGAATTTTCTTTTTTTTTTTTTTCCTTTCCGGGAATTTTCTAGGATGTTTTTCATTTGCTGTTTCTGGGATTGCTTTGTAACTTAATTTTTTTTTTCTTTTTTTCTTTTTTGAGAAGAGCTTTGTAACCTTAATATATTCTTCGTTGTGTGTGTATCTCATGTCCATGTATGCTACCTTTTTTTTTTTTTTTTTTTTTTTTTTTTTCTTTTTCTTTAAAGCTGGAGCCCTGCAGTGCAAGTGGTGTTCATAATTTTCATGTTTATTGTGTCGACTTTGTTTATGGTGTTGATATTTCAAAGGGTTGGAAGACCGCAAGTTCTTTTTAGTTATTATTTTTATTATAATAATATAAATAATAATATTTGTTCAGAAAAAAAGAACTCCCTCCGTGGGTGCATTGAATAAATCTGTATTATAGTGAAGAAGAAGTGTACTAAGAGTCCGTCTGAATCAACTTATTTCAAACAACTGATAAATTATTACATCCGGTAAAATAGGTTAAGATCTAATAAGCTGCCGAGTCTTATTTTTAAAATTATTTTTTCTTCTTTTTTGAAAAGAAAACAATTTCATTTCAACAAATCAAATCATGTAACCTGTTAAAAAAAATAAAATCAAATCATGAACAACAATTTTTTTTTTTTTTTTTTTTTTTTTTTTTTATCTCAATAGGCAAAAGAATCACCAAGACACGTCGTATTTTTCCTTTACCCCTTTTAAATGCCCGCAATTAAAACACACATACTAACACTAACACTAAAAACCTTCCCGCCTGTTAATAAACCCTAAAACCTTGAAAATCCAAACACACACACACACACACACACACACACACACCACTGAATCTCAACTCTTTCTTCATCTTGCCATGGATGTGGATATGGATACTTCTCCCAGCTACTTTGATCCCGAGGACCTCAGCAGCAGAGAGCGCTTCCGCCGATACGGGTATTTATTTGATTCTATATCGCACAATAAACTTCCAATTTTATCGATTTTTTTATCAATCGTCTGCATTATTATGTTTATAATTTAAATTTCTTAATTCGTATGGTTATAGTTTTTAGTATCTACTTTGAGGAATCGTAAATTCACCGTCAATTGTATCAAGGGTTGGCTATTTTTTTTTATTTTTTTTTTTGTATTGTTTAATATCGTACATGAACTAAGTTCTCGGCTACACTTAATTTTTCTGATTGTTGGAATTCTTTTTAGTTTTGTTTTTGTTTTTTTGTTTATTGCGATTTTGGGTGAGAATGCTCTAGTTTGTGAATCTTGTGTAATTGAATACATGAGTTAAAATCATGGCCTAACATTTAAGCGAATTTAACGTGTGCAGGAAAAGAAATCCGGGTTCAAGTCTGTCCCCTCACCATGATAGTTCGGCCTCAAGATTTAGTAACGCTGCACTTTTTCTCGAAAATATAAAACACGAGGTTGAGAGTTTTGATGCAGATTTTGGGGAAACACATTTTGACTCTGCTTCTAAAATGAGAGAATCTCTCGACGGTCTTGGAGTATATAGTGATGCTGATACAATACGCAGGAGGGGTAGTGAATCCTTAAAGGTCTGTAAGCAGGAAGAGCATGAGCAAATTGAAAGTGCAGATACTACTTTCTCTTTATTTGCTTCTCTACTGGATTCTGGTCTGCAAGGTGCTTAAATAATGCTACTCCGCTAATATTTTTATTCTTCTTCTGATCATATGTTGCAATTTTTGCAGACACCAACGTTTCAAATTTGCCTCTTAAACTGAACTGTATTAGACTTAAGTTAGGATGATTTAGTAGTCATAGTTACTTTCTGGAACTTTTCTTCTGATATTGCTTGTGATAAATTAATTTTCAAGTTCCCCAGTTAGCTATTGCGGGATAAGACGAGACAGATAATTCAATTGATTTGTGGGTCATAGATGTCAGAAAACCATTAATAGAGCAGCAGAGCTATCAATATGTATCCCGTTGATTAGGGTAGGCACTGCATACAGGTTTTTTTGTGATTGTTCGCATATTGAGTATGGAAAGTTTCTTCTATGGCAAGCCTTCTATTGAATCCTTAACTTCAAATAGTCAACCACAAATACTTCTAATTACCTTATCTTGTTCATCACTAATATTTGAACAATAGTCAGTTGCATTTATCTCATGAATTTTCTAAAAGGGAGATTTAATAGTCAGTTAAATAAATGATGGACATATTGCAACAAGTGGCTCTTTCGTGGGGCTTAAGATATGCTCACAAGAAGCAGTAGAATGGTTTAGTTTACAAATTACTATTTCATGTAAGCGAGTTGGAAAAGTAGTTGCCTACATTGTCTACATGCATCCACGAGTCATAGTTGTTATTTTTTCTCCTCGTGATGGATGACAAAATTTCATCTCTGCATTGCTTTATTATTTCTTCTCATCCTGGTGAATGCACAAATATTTCATTCTGCATCAGAAGATCTTCTGTTGAGACTGACTCAACCCTTTTTTACTACACGAAGCCGGGAGACTTCCAATTTGGAGATTAAGTCAATCCTTGGTTCCAGCTTTTGATTCAGTTTCCATCAATTATCAGTTTATTTCAGGATTTGACTTCGCAGTTTATTGCTTATATACTACAGGGTTGATGCATATCCCTGATCTGATACTACGATTTGAGAGTTCATGCCGCAGTGTTTCAGAGTCAATTAGGTATTGGCTTGAATACTTCTATCATCAGTATCCATTTATCTGCTGTTAGATTGATTTTCTTGTTATCTGGATGAGTTCATGCTGTATAGGAACTAGTCAAGCACATGCTCTATGAACTGCAATTTTCATCACCAAAAGGGCAACTGATTAAGGTTTCAGCTTCAAGTTGAACTATCTAGTACTTTTAAGATGAGCAAATAGTAAAAAAAATGTACTGCACTTCCTTGACTGTGCTCTATAACTTTCAATTTCTTTTAATGTAAAATTTGATTATGTGATGCACCATGGTATCCACATTCTGACTAACTGCTAGGAGATCATACCAAGCAATAACAAAAACAAAGGCAACTCTTTTCCTTCTTAAACGATTCATAGTGGCGTTATTGCTGTCTCATTTTCCAGTATCGGTTTCGGTCTCATTTTAAAGAATGTTCAGACAGAGTAATTGGTTATAGGGTCAATCTAACAATTGGCTACATTTTTGCCAATTTTGGTGCAGATATGGGGCCAATGAGAGATATAGAATTGTTGAAGATAAATTAATGAGGCAGAAAGCTCGGCTCTTGCTTGATGAAGCTGCTACCTGGTCTCTTTTATGGTACCTATACGGAAAAGGTGATATATATTTTACCAAAGTAATAGATTTTATTCTTATAGTAGTTCTAGTTATAAAGTGGAACGTTTGTTTATCTATTTGTGCAAGTATTTCTTCGAAAAATTAGTTTGCTCACAGCATGATAAGTGGAGTTCCTCAAGGCTTGTATTCTGTAATATTTGTAATTAGAATTATGTGACCATAGGAGTTGAGTTTGGACTAAAAATCCTTCATATGTTTGGTTAAAATTCTGGCCCATGTTTCACCATGGGCTTAAAGCCCCAACCCAAACATAATGACTTTTCACATCAAGTTGTGACATATGTTACATAGCAATCAAATTTTAGATAAGATTAAATGCATTGCAACTTGTCTATAAAGTTTTACATCCTCAATAAATGAATCCTGTATAACCTTATATTTTGCTGTGTATTGGTCGTTTCATTTACTTTTGATCTTTCTGAAATATAAGTTTTGAGGCTAAAGTCTTACTTTATATTCTGACAGGAAATGGAGATGTCCCCGAAGATCTAATCCTGGTGATTATATGTATTAGTTTATCAGCATCATATATAACATAGCTGGATTTGGTTTGAATATTTGTTATTAATTATTCTTGTCTCTGGAGCCTTAATACAGTTCTCACATACTCTTTGTTGTCGATATTGTGTTAAAATATCAAATCCGAATCAAATGCTTTACGACAGTTCCCAACAACTTCACATTTGGAGGCCTGCCAGTTTGTTGCAGCAGAAAATAATACAGCTCATACAGCACAATTATGCCTCAGAATTGTTCAGTGGCTTGAAGGATTAGCATCCAAAGCACTGGATTTGGATAATAAGGTAAAGGGTTCAACCTTTTCTCGGTTTTACCACATAATGAATGGAATACAATCATTTATACTTTCCTGTTTTAAATTGGTACACAGTAACTGTTGATTTATACATTTTGTTGATGCGTCATCGTTTCAAATGGACTAGCCTCTGGAAAAAATTGCATGTTGCATCATTGTTTGCTAGTGTTATACCCCAATAGTGTATTTGACCTGCCCTGTCTTTCTTATTGGATTTTGTTTAGAAGCTAGGAGTGTGATTGAGGTTGGTCATGAAAAATGTTTGCTCCTTACCAGGGAAAATAATGCAATTGAAAATTTACCCGACATCGTCAACAAAACAATGTAGTAGTATTAAGGTGATATGTACTGTTTGGATTGAGTCTATTATACTTGCTTATGATGCTTTATTACTACCCTGATGTTACGATATATGTAACAATGTGAGCGAGACTAATTTAGGCCTGTATAACCTGTATTGATCTTGAAATATATATCCTGTAGACATGTAATGTCAAGTTCATTAACTTGTTGGAATGCCTCTTTTTCTGTGTGTAGCTAATTATGGTGCTTTTAATTGTATTATTTAGCATATAAAGACAGGGTAAATACTTGGACAATTGTCGACATACTTAGATCTTTGTTTCTAGGCCTTCAAATATAGGATGTGTTTGGAACATTTTTCAACGAAAGATCAGTATGCTTATTATTAACTTTTAAGATTCCCTAAAATATCTAATCCGCGATCAGAATGACGGTTTTTTTTAACATTTGGGCATGCGGTTTTATATTTTATAAAAGATGGTAAAATGATGGATAGTGCAAAGATTAGATGGAAAGTGCAACAACGAAGACATGTGCTACTCATGTGAGAGGATCTCGGTGGAATAGCCGGCACTGATTTTGAGGTGGCAAAGTGTAAAACCTGTGAACAATGGAGACATACTAGGGTTTCTTAAGACCAGAGCTTGTGAGTTTATAATAGAATGACCTCATTGATGTTCCTCTATGGTTGATGATAATGTGGATTTACCAGAGAATAAATGAAAACAAAAGCTTCATGCTCAAGCTAAGATTGCTGACCAATAAAATTAGTTAGAATGTAAAAGTCAGATAACTAAGTTCCGTGGATTGCATCTCCTCTTGTAGTCCTAGTGTGGCTTCAGAAGATTTTCTCGCAAATAATTATAACCCCAAAACTTATTTCTTTTTAATCTTTATCCTTCAGTTCAGAGGGTCTCATGTGGGCTCTTACCTCCCGAGCTCTGGAGTTTGGCATCATACTCAACGACATCTTACGGGAGGCGCCTCAAATACCAAGACTATTCATCACTTGGATTTTGATGCTCCAACACGTGAACGTACTCAGCAGCTGCCTGATGACAAGGTAGTCCCTCAGCAGGAAAATTCTGGTACTTGCATAATGATTTCAATAATGGCCACCATTTAGCTTTGACTTACTTCATCCGCCATCTCCTAAAAATTTCTGGTTACTCTTTAGTTGCTTAATGTCTTTGATTGTTTTTCATAAACTCTGCTATTAATGCTTGTTTTTACGTGCCTATTGCTGTCTTTGAACAGAAACATAGTCCTACTTTGCTTCCTTTTGAGGCTAGGCCAGAAAAATATTTAGCAGAGTCGTTTGCAGTATAAGCACCATATCTATTGTATTTTAGCAGAGTCGTTTGCAGTATAAGCACTATATCTATTGCTAACTGGCTGTTGCATGCTGATTCTCACTTATATCGAAAGGAATATTCTTTTTATAACAGAAACAAGATGAATCTCTTTTAGAGGATGTCTGGACTCTTCTTAGAGCTGGAAGACTAGAAGAGGCATGTAATCTTTGCCGGTCTGCGGGACAGGTATGGGGATCTGTTATAGTTTGATAGGTTTATGTTATATTCTTTCTTTGTTCCGCAATGCCTTCAGAAATGAAAAATCAGATGTTCTCGTGACTGGATGGCAACTTTGCTTTGGTAGCCATGGAGAGCTGCGAGTTTATGTCCCTTTGGTGGTTCCAATTTGTTCCCATCTCTTGAAGCCTTGGAGGAAAATGGCAAGAACAGAGTGCTGCAGGCCATCGAACTAGAAAGTGGAGTTGGTCATCAATGGCATCTTTGGAAATGGGCATCCTATTGTGCATCTGAAGTAAGTAAAAGAGAAAGTTAGTTGAAGTTTCTTTCAGTCTTACAGCTTGGGTAGACGAGATGCATATACTGAATAAACTGAACACTTTTCTTCAATGCTATAGTTGCTTCTATACATTCTAATGCTTGGTCCCGTATTTCTTTTCTCCGCGGCCATCCAGATTTACTGGTTGGCCTGCTTCATAAGAGTGCTCAGAATCATGGCATAATAAATTTCTCTATTTTTTTGGATTTGTTTTGCTAATGCATTGTTGATGTTTTTGTTGTATTCTGAACTGACTTTTTTTCTTTGATTTCTTGTTTTATTGGAGAAAATTGCTGAGCAAGACGGGGGAAAATATGAAAGTGCAGTATATGCAGCTCAATGCAGCAATTTGAAGCGCCTTCTTCCAGTTTGTACGGACTGGGAGGTGTGTTTGTCTCTCTTAATCATGAAATTTGCTTTAGTATAATATATTTGGCTTAGTTATCTTTTGAAAATGGGGACTTATTGTTCCAACGGAAGTAAGTTTGCTATGTAGTTGTCAATAATCACAGTTTATTTGCTATATTCATGATTTCTTCATGATTTCACGCTCATTAAACTTGTAAATTTAAGTTTATTACTAATTGTTATGTTCCTTCTCATAAGTTATCTATAGTTAGAATTATAAATTGATTGGTAATTTTAAAAACACCTATCGTAAGTTCTAGTTTCGAAGTACAACGCAGTATTGCAGGATTGTTTGATGATCTAGTTTTGCAAAGTTCATATCTTGTTTACTGTCCAGCTGTGCTCTGTCTTGTGAGTGAAATACTGAATATTTGGAAATTCCAGCTTTTCTTGACATAATTGAATCTGCATGTCCAAAATGTTTGAATACTCGTACATTGACAGCCAGCAGTTGATAATAAAGACTTCAGTGGCTGCATGATAAGATATTGTTGACCTGACTCTCACAATATCTTTTTTCATTAGGAAACTATTACAATGGAGCCATGTTTTAGGTTTATTATACTTTAAGAATAACTTAAATCCCACGTCCAATATGTCCTCAAGCAGAACTATTTACTGAAGCTACTCTTTGAAATCTGGAATCCTTGAGCTTGCCTTCCTGGTCTGGTTGTTTTAGCCAATATCCATAAAGTCTCTATATGCTTCTGATTAAGAATTGCTTTTGAGAACCTTGCTCTTCACATCTCTCTCTCTCTCTTCCTCTAACACACACACACACACCTCACACACACACACACACACACACACACTTTTGTTACTAGACTTGTTGTATGTTGGTATGAGGTAATGGTGCAGGAGTGGATATACCTCCAATATTATATTCAATAGAGTTTTTTTTTTTGATCCCTCGTGTCTTCAAGCTTTATCAATGCCATCTGTGTTTGTTTCTCAGTCCGCATGCTGGGCAATGGCCATGTCATGGCTTGATGTCCAAGTTGATATAGAAATAGCTCGCTTGAGACCAGGTGGACTGGAACAGTTCAAGAGTTTCGAAGAAGCAATCGAGAGAAGTCCCGGGCAAGGAGATCTTGCGTCTCAGCTGAGTGGACCAGATAGTTGGCCGCTTCATGTCCTGAATCAGCAACCAAGGGATCTTTCTTCCCTTCTCCAGAAGCTTCATTCAAGGTAAGCATGTGTCACATCGATGTATTTTTTTCCCCTATTATTATTGACAACTGATTTTGTATACCCACCATGTGCACAACTTAGTGACACTGTGCACGAGGCTGTTACTCGATCATGCAAGGAGCAGCAAAGGCAAATTGAGGTAATAATTTCTGTTACCTCAATATCTACTCTTGGGAATATCAAATTCGTTCCGGTCACTAACTTCTATGCGATGCTTGTCGATCAATGATGTTCTGATGGTCGTATACATAGAAATAATGTAGACAGTTTTTGACTTTATGCTTGTAACTGTACCCTAGAATTTAGATTTACTAACTGACATGTTTATTCTTGTTTTCTTGATAAAATAGCCCAAATTTAGATTTAGTTGTTTTGTCTTTTTGATGATTCTTATACTAATGTAAGGGTAGGACACAAGAAAATGTAGGACCCAAATTTAGATTTAGCATGTTGTGCTGTTGAGTGTTGACTGATGATACACACAGAAGCCAAACCATGTGTATGCTTGTTTTTTTACCTTTCCCTATGCTATCTATATCTGTGGATGTGATTTATTTTTGTCCTCAGCATGCAGTGGGGTAATTTTACTCTCCGACGGCTAACTGTAATTTTGAAGCATGACAACAATTATATTTTGAACTTATTTCTCTTCCTTTCTCTGTCATCATGTGCCAATGTGGTCTTCTGTTTGAAAGCTTAGCATACTTAATTCTAGGAAGGCATACTTTCCAATATTGTATATTATTTGTTTGTAGTTTACTGGTTGCGAGCCATTGACAAAAAAACATTCATACAGATAAATCTTATGTTAGGCGACATTCCTCACCTGCTCGACCTCATCTATTCATGGATATCACCTTCTGAAGATGATGGGAGTATTTTCAGGTATGAAATAATTGTTCTCTTTTATCTGTTTGTTTTCTGATTGTATTTCAGCAGTTTGGTGTCTTTTATCGCAACTGGATGCACCATTCTAAGTGGGTATTAGATTAATGCATGCAAAATACAAATTAATAGATAATCCGCATTGAGTATAGATATGTATAATTTTGTTCAACATGCATCCTATTGTCAGGCCTCATGGTGACCCACAGATGATGCGCTTTGGTGCTCACTTAGTTCTCGTGCTTAGACACTTACTTCATGATCAAATGAATGATACTTACAGAGAGAAGATGGCGACGGTTGGTGACTTCATTATTCACATGTAAGTGGATCTTTGTTTTGCTAGAGTACCACTGGAGGGTTTCTTGAGGATGCATTGGTAGTAGTTGTGAATGCTATCTCTTCATTTGGGATTCTCTTTCAGGTACGCAATGTTTCTTTTCACTAAGCAGAATGAGGAGTTGGTCGGCCTCTATGCTTCTCAGCTTGCGCGCCATCGCTGCATTGATCTATTTGTACATATGATGGAGTTGAGGCTCAATAGCAGGTTTGTAGTTAAGATTGGTTTTGCAGTTTATCGGGGCAATCTATTTTGCAGTTATTCTCATGCCATGTTTCCAAGATTAAATTGTGTTGTCTTATTTCTTACATTTTCTCCATCTATAGTATGCATGTCAGATACAAGATGTTTATAACAGCTATTGAGTATTTACCATTTTCTCCGGAAGATGAATCCAAAGGCAGTTTTGAAGAAATCATTGAGAGGTGACTTGCTCTTCTAAACACTTCTTTTCAGCAAAGTCTAAATCATTGTGTATGAGTACTGCTCATGCATTTAAATTTTCCTCTTGTTCAGAATTTTGTCAAGATCTCGAGAAATCGGTGTCGGGAAACACGACAAGTCATCTGATGTTGCAGAAGAACATCGTTTGCAGAGCCTACAGAAAGCTATGGTTATTCAGTGGCTCTGCTTTACACCTCCTTCCACAATTAATGATGCTAAAGCTGTTACCGAAAAACTCGTTCTCCGTGCATTAATGCATAGGTAATTAGATTTCTCTTTTCTATTCATTTAGGAGTTCAATTAATCGTATTACTTTTGTGGCTGGCAGATATTTGCTTTTATTTTCTTCTAGTTTTATTGACCCGTACTTTTGTGTTCTGTTTTCTCTTCGTCTATTTTTAATTGGGACCTGTTTTTGTTGTTGTAGCAATTTGCTCTTTCGAGAGTTCGCTCTTATTTCAATGTGGAGGGTGCCTGCAGTACCTATTGGGGCTCACACAGTGCTTAGTTTACTTGCTGAGCCTTTGAAACAACCAACAGAAATTCTTCTTTCCACCGAAGATCATGATGTCGCTGAGAGTTTGAAAGAGTTCCAGGATTGGGTATGCCTTTGACATTCAGTCTTGCTTTTATTGAAAAGATAATGATCTCTATGCTGACTCCATTTATTCATATTTGCAATTGATCAGAATGAGTACTATTCTTGTGATGCGAAATATCGCAACTGGTTAAAAATTGAACTAGCACATGCTGAGGTTTCACCCGATAAACTGTCCGCCGCAGAAAAACAGTTAGAAGTTACAGCAGCCCATGAAGCTCTTAATTCGTCACTTTTATTGCTAGAAAGTAAGTTATTTTATTCCATAAACATTGTGATGATGTTATTAAGGGATTGGTTTTTATACTGTTTGTTGCTCCGTTAGTGGGTATTGTTTCTCTTAAACTCATGTTGATATGTGTTTTCAAAAAAAATGGACATCTAAAAAACACAATATGGTGCTTTTATACTGATAAATGTTTATGCTCGTGTTCTTGTTTTAGGAAAAGATAATCCCTGGCTGGTCCCAACTCAAGATCATTTACATGTATCGGTGGAACCTGTATACCTGGAACTACATGCTACAGCTGTTCTGAGTCTACCTTCTGGGGAGTGTTTGTCTCCTGATGCTACATTGTGCACTACGTTGACAAGCGCCCTTTACACATCAGTAAGCGAGGAAGAAGTTCTGCATCGAGAATTGATGGTAAATTTTGTGATTTTAACCTTCTTAACATAACAGAAAGAGTTGAAAATTCCTTGTCTCTGTATTGTAGTACTGCCTTGTAGATCCTTTTCTTATTGAAGTGTTATTTGAAGATGTTTTATCCTATAATATTTTGTGCCAAGCCAAACCATGGATTATATAATTTTCTCCGACACACTGCTTGTATTGAATTGGTATTCATTAACGTCCAGTTTGCAAGTACTTGGCTATCTATATCTAAGTTGTGACTTGGAAATCTAGTCTCTTTGTCAGCTCTTGATGTGGGACTTTAGTCTGTATTTGCTCTTTCCATAGAAGTTCCAATTCTTGTTATATAATTTCGATCAAACTGCCTGATGCATTAGTCTTTATTTGCTCTGCCAATGCAAGCTCCAATTCTCGTCGTCTAATCTTCTAACTATTAGTATCATTCTGAATCTGCAGGTGACGTTTCTATCTCTTCAAAGGACAGTTCTTGCATTGAAGTTGCCCTTCGCTGCTCAGCAATGGAGGGTGATGGGCTTGGACCACATGATCTCAATGATGGTGGAATTCTGGCTAATGTCATGGCCGCTGGCTTCAAAGGTAAATAACCTGTGATTGCCGTATTATCAGTATGTGGTATATGCACTTGGGTTTAACTGATTGTATGTAGTGCATAACAAAAAAGGTCTTTACCTAAACAGCACTAAGTCTGAGTGTGTGGAATAACACTGTTCTTTGCACTTTCACATCTCATTACTTTTCAGTTCGAGCGGGCTTGAAGAGCGCCGCAAGCTATTTGTTACTAGGTGTTATATAGGATTTTTTACTCCCGACTATTTTTGTTCTCTCCGAGTGTCAGTTTTAGTGAAAGTTCACAACAGTTGGTTTCATTTTTTCTTTCGTCAGCAATTTCAGGGGTTAGGAATACCTACATAAAATTTTTCTGCTATATAAGATTTTTACCTAAAATAAATTCTCTCTTATATCAGGGGAGCTGAGTCGATTTCAAGCAGGAGTAACAATGGAGATATCCCGCTTGGATGCTTGGTATTCAACTGCTGATGGTTCTCTTGAAGGACCAGCAACATATATAGTTCGTGGACTTTGTCGCAGGTGTTGCATCCCGGAAATTTTTCTTCGATGCATGCAGGTAACGTGTTTCTCCCCGTAAGTTTGATGTATGCATGTGCAAGAATTTTTTTGCTTAAAGTAATTCCTGTGTGATAAATTGAATATATCGGGCTATTTATTGCATAGCTTCACCATTTCCTGTAAGCCTTTCAAGCGAAGAAAGCATGCTTTATAGTCGTATTTGATGTTTTGGTGGACTTTCTGTAGGTCTCAGTTTCACTGATGGAATCTGGCGACCCACCGGAGAGGCATTACGAGTTAATTGAACTAGTCACCTCTCCTGAAACTGATTTCTTCGTTTATTCAGCCAGAATCAATTGCAGGTAAGCATTTTAGAATTAATTTAAAGATATTCGATTTATGTGATTGAAGGGGATTATAATTATAGTCTTCTGCTCCCATGAATTATACATTCTTCTTTTGTTATATACAATTGTTGTTACAACTCACGCACTACACACAGACACGCACCCGAACTGATACGAACTCAGGACAGTAGACCAAACGCATGGTGCTAACATGAATTATATGTTTATTATGTTGAAATATGAGTTGATTTATCTTGATTATCAAGTGGATCAATGAAAACACATAAAACTAAGTATATATTATTTGTTCACTTTAGGTGTGCTAGCAAATTATGTTCTTTCAGAGGAGTTTATACTATCATAAATTGTGAGCTGCTGATTATTTTTAGTTCAAAATTTCAACCAACTGATTATCATAAAATGTTTTATATACAGGAACTCCTATTATTCGAACGAAACTATACAATATATGGGATGGATCTCGAGGATGGGCCGAATTCTTGATTTGCACAGTGCACAGCGAAGCAGCAGTTTTTACAAGAGGTCGGAAACAGCAACAAGTTTTTACACCGTCTTCAGTACTAGCCAGCTCTCTGTAACAATTCAATACATCACTTATCTCTTAGTAGATAAGTGATGAACAACAATTCAATACATCTGTATTATGGAAGTTCAGTAGCTGACATTTTTTTCCCATCTGTTTTATTATGCTGATTTATTTATGTATGCTAAAAATTTCAAATTCAACCCCGTTATTGCAAGTAGGTGTTGTCGTATAAATGATATTTTTTTTTTAATTCTTTTTGGTTTGAGCTCGTTACGTTTCTAGTTGCAGCTAGGACACGACAACTCAAAAACATGTAGCTAACCTGGTTTCAAAATAGTTTTGAATTTCTTTATTTACTAGAAGGAAATTGACATGCACTTTATCGAAGTTGTTTGTATTGCAAAAATGCATTTTTATTGGTTTCTATTACATAATTATACATCAAGAAATATTAACTATAATGCTTCAGAAAATCATTTATAGTATCAAAAAGTAATTACTTCTTTAAACCAAATATAGCAGATTCCGCAGCATAGTCTAACTTGAATCACAACACCTCTAAATCACAAAGTGCATATAACCTGTACTTACTATTGTCAAAACAGTAACAAAGTAGTAGCTAAAGATGTTCAAAACAGTAACATGTAAGTAGATAGACCGGTCTATAAAAGTCTGTACGAGCAGGTTCTTACGACACATTAATATCATTTTACCTCTTGATCATATATATTCATATTTATCCATTATGGCTTAGTTTGTTGTATCCTCAAAAAACGTAGTTTTTGTAATCGATTTTGCAAGTAAACCTTGAAAAGGTCGAGAAAGGCATATTATGTGAAACCAGAGGCCACTGCACAAAATGTTAATTGAGACAGCTCCTTCATCTGCAAATGGATGCACAATCACCAGATCTTCTTTTTGACCCAGAGGAGGAAGAAGACAACTCCTAGAACAACAGCGACAGGTGCCCATTTCCGAATCAGAGCCTATAGTCAAAGATCAATGAATCACTTATAAGATCCTCGTGTAATTCTGTAATAATACTTGCTTTTTTTTTAGTGGCAAAAATAAGGTTGAAAACTTAGATGAAGCATTACACTCATGCTTAATGTACTTGGACATAGGTTGGAAACAAGCTTAAATAATATTTTGAAAATATAAATGAACTCGTGAATCGGAACCCCTCATGACAGAAAATATAATCAACCAACCTGGCGGTTCAAATCTTTTGCCTTATCTGCGTATATGCGGGACTCGGATGTCAAGCGACTGGACATCTGACTGACCTCTGGAAAAGTTGACAGTGGAAGATGTATCATCAAATATTCAAAAGTGGAAAAGAAATGAACTTCGAAATGATGCGGAAATATAAAATCCCAAAATGAAAAGAAACAAGCCATACAAGTTTTAATGAGAATTAGAAAGGTGCACTAAGTAGCTAAATAGAAATTTCAATTGCTCCAGAAATTAGGTTTGAAAATAAGGCCTACCAAGCATAAGTAAGGTATGAGGCTAAGTTATCTATTTAACCAAAATTCAAAAAAAAAATGTGGTGGCACTCATGGCAGTGGTAAGAAAAATGATGATAAAATCACTTACGATCCAACTTTTCACCAACGCCAAGAACTTCTTGTACATTGCGGGTCATTATCTGGTGAACTTCATAGAGTTCATCATTCAACTTTGAAACATTCCGTTGAGTTCTTGTATCTTGGTACAGTTTCTTTGTCTTCTGAATGAATGTATCTACCAAATACAAGAGAAGCCAGTGATCAGAGAAAACATAAAAGAGAAGAAATATTAGAAAGTACTGCTTACATATAAGATAAGACACGGATAAAAAATCTTACCAAATTTGATAAAAGCATATGGTCTTGCAGCAGTTTCAATCTGATTCCCATATACACGCTCAAATTCATTCTTAAGGTCTTCTAGATATTGGTAAGCAAGCTTCTTAGGATAAGAACGATCGCACATTGTCAAATAGCACACACGCCCTTCAATGATATGACTAAGCTCCCAAGTTAAGGTCTTAACTTTCCATCGAAAGAGGACAAAATTATTATACTAGCATTACTCAAATTTTGCTTGTTGATAACCTTACCCAACTGCACTAAAGCATAATTAACATAGATATTCTAAGATGCAAATAAAATGACACCATTTGGGCAGCAAGGATCTTGATATGTAGAAGCTAATATTAACCATATAGTTGTTAGTTATGAAATCAGCAAAAGCCCATTAGTATTTTTTTTATTTGTACATTGAAGGTATCATACCGACAGGTGGGAACTATAACAACTATGTGGTTCCGGTAAATTTAAATAACAGATTTGCATAGAGAAACATTTTTTAGGAACGACTATCCTCCACATACATGTTTTACAGTGAATGTGGTCAAGACAATGTTGAATTCTTTTTGTAATAAAGAAGGTTGCAGTAAGTCCATTCATGTTCAGAACCACAGATAAAATTCAAACACTTAACTAAAATGTGCAAAAGGATACTGAAATATGTATGGCCCTGTTTCAATTGACATTCTTGACGGTTCATTCTGACCCCTCGAGAGGTTTTTGAACAAAGCCTTAACTTGCTGCTTGTAGAAGTCTGCATCAGGCATATCACGACCATCGTCCAGTCCTTCTACTAGAGGAAGGCCATCAGTCACACGAGCTATCATCGTAATTTTCACCATCTTTATTATGAGCTCACACCTGTAAGATACTAAACCAAATTAGTTAGTCATCCGATTCTATTGAAGTCTGTAAACGATACACATATCACTACATTTTAGTACATTCTAAGTATAATTCTGCCATTTGGAAGAGCAATGAGATGGGACTGTAGTCAGAATCAGAACTACGTTGGCAATATAGAGATAATCATCCAGCGCAAGAACAAGTTCATATCATTAGCCAAGATAAGATTACATAATCTTATGAAACTCAATTGTATTATTGGACCATGGAAGGTCCAATAAAAAATCTCCCTAAAAGGCAAAATAAGCCATGATAACATAATATCTCCGGGTTGACCCGGGAAGTTATTGGATATAACAAACATACCAAAAAAAAGTCTAATTATTCAGTTAATCATAGCTAATCTCCCGATCCAAACGAGGCCTTAAATAAATAAAATCTGAAAAACTATCCCAACATAAACAAGAGAAAAAGTGTTTTGAGTTTTTCTTTTCGGGTCCTTATGTCCTTGTGCAAGTCTAAATAGTTAATCTCAGATTCCGCAGACAACAGGTTGGAAAATATAAAGCATGCATAAGCTAACTGATTAGTTTTTGCCATGAACTCTCTTGCCAAGGGCTCCAACACACTATTTCTTACTTTTTTTCTCTTCCTATTTAAAAATGTCTCCAGAAACCTAAACTTCGATCATTATATCAAGTAAAATAATCCAATAACAATCATTAACTATTCATCATCTAACCTCCGGACATTGATTTGATGGCTACAGAGTATTCCGTTTCCTCCCAAAATACAAACAAAACATTACTTCCTCTCTCAAATTCTTCCCCCAAAACGAATTGGAAATAAGGCCCCAAGCCAAACATTGCCTAACTAATTTCCACATGCATTTCATTTCTTTTATGATATCACTCAAGAAGTTCTTCAATTGAAATTATTATCTGTGGTAAAAGGAAAATTGAAGAAAATCCAAAATCATTGATTACATCTTTTCCTATTCGTTCGTGTTTCGCTAAATCTAGATTCCAAGTTGAGCGTTCGTCAATAAAACCTAAATTACCCGCCCACCATTTCAATAAAGCATGCCAGTATCTCTCTCAAACGTCTAAAAGTTAATTCTGTACATTATTTAAATTTTACAGATCAATCAAACCAATTCATCGAACACACACACAAACACACACACACACACACACACACACACACACACACACACAAACACACACACACACACACATACCAAGCGAAAATCAGTAACAAAATCCATAATCATACCAGACAAATAACAAGAAACACAAATTATTATCGACATTTACAAATTGAATCAAACGCATAGAACGAATCGCATACCAATCGCATGCGAATGTGAGCCCTCGGTCAGATGCGCCGTACGAGAATCCCGATCTTCAACTACGAAATTTGAGCCTTCAATGGATCCTTGAATGGAAATTTGAGCGATCCGAAGTAAGGATTTAGATGATAAATGCAGATTACAGAATTGTGATTTCGCGGAATTGCAAAACAAGAGAAGAAATAGGGTTTTCGCAAAATTGGATAAATGGCAAATTTACTCTGCCGATCTAAATACATATATATAAATAATTTGCCAATAATTTATTTATTTCTTACTTTTTGGCCAAAAATAAAATTGCCAATAGGAAAATGTTTTTTATTATAAATTTACCAATACAAGTAAGTACGGTATAATAAAGTTGAGCAATTATCTTAAGAAGTTGTGAGTTCAATTTTATTTATGTAAAGTTAATTTCATGATATTATAATTTTCTTATATATATATATTATGAATTATTTAAAAGTTAGAGAAATATTTTTCTTATGACTTATTTATTGATTAATTATGAATAAACATGTTCTACACTACATACTTTCATGTTAGAAATATTAGAAAATGATTTGAACAAGCAAGTGACAATAGACGAAAAACCGTGTGCTATAGTGTACATTTTGTTGATTTTTTATTGACGATTCAAAAATTAATGAAATTTTCTTTAGATTAATTATTTAATGACCCATTATAAATAAATAACATAGTGGTTATCACTCGGTTTCATAGAAGTTTATAATTCCCAAAGTTTGTTGCTTAAAAAAACCATTAATTGTTGAGATATAAATATTAAATAATTCACTTCACTAACAATTTAAACAACTTTAAAATGAGCTGATCATTCAACATGGTGCAAAGAGCACCAGACCCTAAAATACTATAAATATGATTGATTTTCTTTTTTTCTCTTTTGTTATTAAAATTAATACGAATAAATCATATTTAATGCCATAATTTTGATAATAGATCTAATACACGGAATCAAATGTACTACTGGTCGAGTAATTAATTAACCTAATCGAGAGTTCGTATAACGGATAATTAATGTAAAAATCTTATCGTATATTTCGTTTTATATTGTCTAAGACTCTAAATAATTAGAGAGGTTTTAGCACTTGTTTGTTGTCTTAATTTCTTAACATAAAGATTTGGTTGTGCATATATATAGGTGGATGGATAGCCAACCCTTTGAGAGATTTATGTTTGCCACCTGGTTAAACTTCATTATTGTTTTTACCAAATTATTCTTTGGCAGCCAAACTTCCAACAATCAAGTGTCAAATTAAATTTAAAAAAAAAAATGAAAGTTTATGATATATATAAATCTTTGCTTGAACTCTCAATTGAGTTAAGTGTATTGGTGTTCAACACTTGTTGGTTTGTAAGATTTTCTTTTAGGAAGAAGAGAAAACGGGATGAGGTTGATCGAAGCTGGAGAAGCAGGGCACATGCTCGATTCCTTGGATTTGGTCGAAACTCGAAACCATTTTTAGGGAATTCGGCATGTGCACTGTCCCTCCAGCTTTGTTCCTCTCCCGAGAAACGGAAGAAGACCGTACAAGTTTAGAAGTTGTCGGGTAGTAAATAATTTCATAGAGGTAAATTACTAAGATATCTCCAAATTTTATATTAATTATTTTATTTTTTTGAATTTTGTTTAAAAATTTTAAAATTGACATGGTTATTGAAACTTCTAAATTCTTAAATTCCAAAAGCCTCCAAAATCGGGATGAATTTATGAACTTCAGAAATTTGTAAATCAGAATTCAAATTAGTTTTTCGATTAAAAAAACGAAAAAGGCTAATTCCATTCCAAACCATCTCGTCACGAAATCAAACAACTTTACAACATAGATTCTTGCTTAAGTTCTTTTTACAAGTGTTTTGAAACTCGGATCAGACTGTCAAATCTGAGAATTAAGTTTTTTTTTTCTCTTCAAATGGTGTGTTTTGTTTTAATTTGAAAAAGTAAATGGTTAAAACGACGTCGTTTTACTACATTATTAGGGGAAAAAAAGCATCATCATTCTTTGTTGTCAACACTCAACACAGTCACAAGTGTGCTAAACATGTATTTATTATTTTAGATTATAATTTCGATACTTCTTTGAATGGCTTATACTATGCTACACCGGGTGAAATACATCGGGTAGATCTTTATCATTCATATACTCACAAACACACACACCCACATGAATGTGTGTAGATCAACGGTAAAAAATCACCCGATGTAGCATAGAGATAAACCCTTTGAATTGATTGGGTTATCATATATGCGTGTCGATAAATTGTGTATGCATGTGCATTTAAAAGAAAAGTGCACTTGATTTACGTTTCAATTGCAGACGAATAACGAGTTAATGTATGTGCAAAAGAAAAATATGATTTGTATACTATAAAAAATAAATACACATAATTGTAAAATAACAAATGAAAACAAAAAAATTGATTGAACCCGCCCAATCGTAATCCAAAAGTGTATCCGATTTAATATTCGGTCCGATTTTCAAAACATTGTTTTCCACAATTACAATGAAGGTGTCCAATTAAAAAATAAATAAAATAATATAACTTGAAAAAAAATTCTTGAACATAAATTAAAATTAAGCATTTAACAATATATAAAAATCAGAGTGAGTTTCTGGTTTCCAAAGCTGATGCAGCAGAATCAATATGAAGCAGCAAACACCCATAAACTTTCTGCTTCAACCCATCAACGCTCTCCACCAGTTTCTCCGATCCCGGCGGCGCTCCGCCGCCGCCCGCGGCGGCGCTCCTGACCTTATCCAGCCATTCAGTCGCCTGCTTCAGCAGCGACAGCGTTAAAGCAATCTGGTTATTCTGCTCCACAATTCTCGCCGCACTACCTACCTCCTTAAACCCCTTCTTCTCCAACTGCCCGCCGCCGCCACCGCCGCCGCATCGGAACCCAATTTCGAGTGCATCGGCCAAGAAACCCAGAAACCACGACTGGGTTTCGCTCTCGAGAAGCTTCCTGAGTTCGAGGGCTTCCTTGGACGCATCATCCCCCTTCGCCCATTCGGCTTGATCCGATGAACCGGGTTTTTTCATGGAGGTTTTACGATGCTGTAGTGACGAAGATGAACCGGGTTTTTTGCTGAGGTGGTGCTTTTGGAGTGGGGGTGTTTGTAGAAACTGCCATGAATCCGGCGTCGGAGTAGCGGTGTCTGCTTTGTCGATGAGGTGTTGGAGTGTGAAGAATTTTGATAAATGGAGGTGTGGATTTTCCGGTGAGGCCGATGAGTAAAGATCCGCGAATATACTGAAATTACAATAATTTAATTTTTTTTAATTATAATAAAATTATTTTTTTTAATTTTTTTTTTTTACCTGAGGCACTTGGCAAGATTGGCTGCTAAATTGGCTTCTTTTTGTGCTTGTGCTGCTACCAAAGAAGCCAAGTTTCCCCTTCTAAGCATTCCCTTGCAAACCATATATAAATAACAAGTTTAATAAATATATTATAAATATTTTTAATTCAAGTTCAAACAAAGAAACTAGGGTAAAATACAAAATACTCCTGATGTTTGTTTTCGTCTCAGATAATTTTTTTGAGTTCATGGAATATTGCTCGAAAAACACCGATTTTACCTCTGTAGACGTGACATTTCTTTATATTACTTTTCTAAAGACAAAATTACTCTTAAAAGGGACATTTACACGAAATCTTTATTCTTTTTTAATACCAATTTCACAATTTTTTAGTATTACCATTACTCCTCTTAGGGTAAATTTTGTCATTAAAAAGTATAATAAAGAAATGTCAGAGGGGTGTAAAATTGGCTTTTTTCGGGCAATATTCCATGAACCCAAAAAGATTCGGGTCGGTGTAAGGAGAAACAAACATCGGGGATTCAGGTAAATACGTATAGGTGGGGGTATTTTCGTAATTTAGCATAAGTTTTGGGGTTTTCATATAGTCAATACCTTTGCAGACTTGACAAGTGTGGGTGGAAGAGTTGACCATGAAGAAGATATTATTGGTTCAGGTGAAGATAATTGCTTCTTATTATTTGAGAAAGAATTGAAATTGATGTTTTCTTGTTTGTTAGTGGATTTGATCCTGGAAGAAGTAAATTCCGGTTTGCTGCTAGCTGAATCTGTGTCTGGTTTATTATGTGTTTGACCAACTTCAGGACTTGCTGCTGGTGCACCTGGCTGCAGCAAAAAATTCACTTGTAAGCAACTATATATAGGGTTTGTTTTCCGCCCTTGGCCGAAATTGGACGGATCAGATTCAACCAGAATTAATACACTCTTTTGATTTTATTCGGATGCCAAAAGTAAAAAAGAAAATTGAAAAAAAAGCTAGAAAGCAAAAAATGGGAATTTGTAAATCGCAACGAAAAACTTTGTTCCGAACGTAGGAAAAGAATCATATCAGAATCGCGGAAGTCGAAAATTATATTTCGATTTTTCACTTCTAGTGTAATGTATATGTACTAGTATAATATAGATGTATTGTCATAGTAAATCATATAAAATGTCGTTTTCGAATAAAATTCGAAATTTTTGGGGGTAGAATTGGATCACAATCGTCCGAAATCAAAGAGGAAAAAAGATATTTAAAACATGAAAATTTTCATATCGTAATCTCGAAATTCAGAAAGTATAAACGAATTCCAGAATTTTGAAAAATATAATCTCGGAGTAGAATAGGATCGAAATTTCATATATAATTCCAATTTCGATTAAAAAAAATCAGAAATTGATAATTTGACAATTGGGACTAAAAAAAGTTAATCCAAACTCAATAATTCCATTCCGATATCCATCCACCCATATATATATATACAAATTAAAATACAAAAAACTAAATTCATACCTGACCTTTAAGCTGATGATCAGTATTAAGCTTAGTAGTTGCTTTAAAAGATGCACCACCACCACCGCCGCCACCACCACCACCACCACCACCACCACCAATAAAAGAGCTTTGATCAATTTCTTTAACATCAATTTTGTGCTTCAAATAATTACCCTGCATATACCTAGATGCAACTCCCCCCTTCTCCTCTTTTATCACAATCTTCTTCTTCCCGCCACTTTCATCACCGTCAACGCCAACGACCGCCACGTCACCATCACCGCCGTCGTTATCAACCAACTGCATCAAATCCTTCGGATTTCCAACAAACGGGTGGCGGCCCGGGATTGGCCGAACCCCGACCAGAATCGGGACCGGGGTCCCACCCTCCATTCTGTCCACATACAGAAACTGCCCGAGCTGGAGCTTGTTGTTGAGTATGAGATCCGTGTCGTTCTTCGACAGTGAAACGTAGGTTGAGTGTGAAGAATCGGAGACCTTGACGAAGAAGCCGTTTTCGGGCCATAATTCAGACCCCGTTATTGCGGGTACTATGCTGATTACTTGTAAGAGGATTGATCGGTGCTCGCCTCGGATTTTGAGGTTGGAATCGATTGTTTGGAGGAGTTTTATTAGTACTCCCGGCACTAGAGTTGCCATTTCTTTTCGGTTTTTTCGAGTTTTTTTTAGTGTAGATCTGTGATCATGATTCTGATGATAATGTGGCGACTGAATCATAAATGATTAGTTTGTATATACATGAGAGGGAAAATCAAAAAATAAAACAAATAAATAAAAAAATAATCTTGAAAAAAAAAAGAAAAAAATTGAAACTTGGTGGAAGGCATGAACTGCTTTACATGGGAGGCACGTAACCATGGAGGGAAAAACTTCTACTTGGCTTTTAAGCTAAGAGAATATCTTTTTTTGAAAGTAAAATGGGGCCCTTTTTCATGGTTGTGAAATTACAATTTTGCCCTTCCCATCGGAACAAAGTCTTGGTAAAATAGTTAATACATGGGGTATATATATATATATATATATATATATATATATATATATATATATACAAGATTCGAACCAACGGTTGACATGTCAATTTCGAAGAAGAGGGAATGGCTACATTTTGAAAGGTGGGAGTAATTATAATATCTTAATCTATCTGATAATGACAAAAGTAGTAATACTATCTCAAAGAATTTATATTAAAAAAAAAAAAAAAAAGTAAACAATCATACATAAATTAAAATACTAAATATTGTAATATATTGTTGGTTTAGATTGTATTACCTGCTTTTCTGCCCCTTGGATTGACTACTACAACTGTCAATCTATTTGTGATGATTTCTGATGTTTGAATGTTTCTACAAACGTGTGTTTGTGTGTGTGTGTGTGTGTGTGTGTGTGTGTGTGTGTGTGTGTGTGTGTGTGTGTGTGTGTGTATACCAATTTTCGATAATGTATAGACAAATTCATCGTCGAACTACGAGAATCGTGAAACGGGCTTCACATTTCCAAGAAAATGATATAGCTACCAAAAAATCAGATTGTTGTTCCACCAATTTGGAACGATAAACTCATTACAATATACAACATACATTTTAAATCTACAATAAATAACTCTTGAGCCCTCCCACTTATATCAATCAACATATGCAATCAATACCATAATAATATTTATGTACGATATCATCAACTCTGCTTTCATATTCAAAATGCTGTGTTCGAGGAGGCAAACTTACTTTGTGGTGTGGAGCAGCTTCTGTAGAGAATAAATATTACCTAGGCCTTGTGTCGCTGCTTCCCTTGCTTCGGAACGAGGATAACGAGAAAAATGATCTTGGTGCTGTAAAATTAAAACAACTCAAAAATGTCAATGCGCAGGATATTTTTTATTTTTATTTTTTTGGCTCGTGGCGAAGGTTCTATGAATTAATATATCAAGGGCAGTTTTAGCTTTTTCGTTTAAATGACAAGGTCGAAATCGGAAATGATTTCTAGTCATCGTCTATTTTTTCGGCTGATAATGTTTAATGATAGTTAAATCGAAGCAATAGTAATACTGTAAATCTCACCTTTAATTGAGCTCCCAGACATGTGATCCTCCCTCAGTTTAAAGTTGTCTGGAGGTACTAGGATAGAATTTTGTGAAGATTGAACTGTGGGAAAAAGGCACACGTCAGCAACAACGTTAAGAATGCATATAACCGATTATGAAAATTAAGGAGCACAAAATGGTATGTAACAAAAGTACTTATAAATATACATGATATTTAAAGGATAAAATTGGATAAAATATAAAATATACAGAAATTACGAATATATGTAAATATTTAATATCAGTTCCACAGAGGTATAATTAGTAACATAAAGTGATTGGGATAGATAATGTTAAATATCAATGCAATATAAAAAATATTTAAAAGATAAAATGATCACAATTTGTTTTAAGGAATCGCCAAAATAGTAGAAGTCATAGAAATTGGGGGTGAGAGATGCTTTTAGCTCCTGGCTTGGATTCAGAGAAGCAAAAGCTCAATTTCCAGAAATTACTTTAGAATTACTTATTCCAAGCTAAAAGTGCAAAATCACTAAAAATGAATGCTTCCCAAACTCCGGAAAATGACCACAAAGAAGTGAAAATGTGAAAATCAACTCAAACAACGAAACTGAACAGACATGTATGGAAACTTTGACATCAGTAAATAACTTTGCTTGTAAAGACATAAACATAAATATTTGAAAAAATATAATAAATTACCAGATTCGTTGAAAAACTCGCTCTCGTTGAAGTTATCATAGGAAGGTTGGGCATGAGAAAATCCCATTCTTGACTTCCTCAGATCTTCAGAAGACCGATTAGCAGGATCCCGTCCATCCTCAGTGTCATCATCTCCTTCAGATGTAGTAGCAGAGATCCAGTCAACCAAACTCTCTGAGCCGCGGCTTTTTCGTCCAAACTTGAGCAACCGTTTGAACCCCGTAGTCCTATCTTTGCGAGATAAATTATTGGATGAATGTGCCACCATGGGCTTTTGTGCAGTTCCCCATTTCTTCCTCATTCGAGCAGCATCAATCTCTATTTGATTTAAAGAATGGGAGTTCCATGAGGCAGGACTTCCTACAGGGGAGTCCACAGAAGCATCAACATCAGACATCTCGTGGGCATAAGAAAAGGGATGCTGTGTGTGCGAATTCCATGAGACGGGACTTTCCTCTGGCCAATCTTGCACAGATTCAATAGGCAAATGAGAACCCAAAGCCTGGTCCACCAGAGAAAATGTTAGAGTACCGTCACCATTTTCTGATTCTGAATTTACATTTTTTTCTGACTCCATCCCCTCTCTTGGGTGGCCATTGTCGAAATCAGTTTCCATATCAGTGTTAAAGGTCTCAAATTCTTCCACGCCTTCATCTTTACCTGTACTCGTGAACTCGTCAGGTTCAGTTTCCATGTTACTATTTTCTTCTTCATTTTTTATAAACTCGGATCCCACAGAGGCCTTCTCCCTTGCGCTAGTTCGAGCAATAAAGCTGTTGCGGCTACCCTTTTTAAGAAAAGGCTTGGTCACGACATTTTTCTGAATTTCCTCGTCAAATTTTGTTGGTGTCAAAACAACACCATCAGAGTCAAGAGGGTACATTTCCCCGAATTCACTTGGATTTGCAGAGCTTTTCCTCAGTGACTGTGACAGGCGTGACTTATCTTCCCTGACAAAGGCTGCTTCATTACTTGTGCTATTGCTACGGGAATAGTTTCTTATTTGAGAACGAGTAGTTCTACCGGCTCCAGAAGAAGGTTTTGTATTTTCTTTTCTTAAGTCAGAAAAGTTTGGGACAGATTGGCCAAGTGGATTTTCCGGCTGCATTCTTCGTTTCCCAGAATTGATGGTCGGAATTTTGCTAGCGGACTTCGGAACAGGAGCTGATGAGGTACGAGGAGTAGATGATGCTAAATTTTTATTACTGGGTAGATGCTTCTTTCCCTGTGTACCCCTAGAAACACCATCCCTAAAAGAGGTTTCATCTAAAGCCCTACTCTCACGAAGATGATTCTGCTCTGAAAACTCCGATGCTTCCTCATCATTCTCACTATCCCCAAAATCTAAATGTTGCTGTCAAAAGGAAACTTTTATACAGTCGGTTAAAAATCAACAAAAGACTAACTCTAGTAAATCCTGAAATTAGAAAACAAAAGGAAGATGGTTCCATTCTTTACACTCCATAACATAACTATAAATCTACCTGCTCCCTTTTCATAAATGACCTGCTATTGTATGATCTGAGTCTCTCAGCACGTCGATGAGCACTTGATACCGAATCTTGTCTGTCTGCAGATCCCGAAATTTTTGCCTTCATCTCAGATCGATTCCTCTCAAGGCTATCCTGCATGGATTTCAACCTGGCTTCTTTCTCTGCCCTGTTGGAAATCCAATCTTCCCTCAGCTTTGCATCCCTTTTTTGCATATAACTATTATAGAATTCCCCTCGAGAACCTTCTGAAACACTAAGCTCGGAGAACTTATTTATAGCATCACCATAGTACTGACTATCAATTGTTTTCACTGGAGAGCCAACATCGAATTTGGTTGGGGTCTTTGAAAACGTAATAGGTTCAGTTGGCTGGTAACTGTTGGCCAACTGAGAAGAAATATCTGCTACTGGTTTTGTGTAGTATAAACTACTTGATAGTTCAGGTTGTGTGTCTCCTGATCTGCCTTTACGGGCAGGGTTCGATTGATCTCCCGGGCCTCGCGATTTATGCTCAGCGAAGAGTTTTTCAAGCTCACTTGCTTTCACCTTTAACTCGTCGTTAAGTTCTTGATTTCCCTTTGATTGCCTTATTCTTTGAGCTTGTTCTGGAGGTGGTGTTGAAAAAGAATCAGAACCTTCCTGAGTCTCTATTATGACTTTACCAGAAAATTGTGTCCTGCTGATGTTTCCACTAGAACTGTGCTCATCTCGTTGAACTCGTGCCTTTTTACTCAGTTCAGTTGACAAACCTCGTTTATTGAATTTCAGACTCCGAGGTACAGAATCTTCAAAGCTTGATATAGAAGTACTGGATACCTTCTCAATCGTGCGGGATCCTTTCTCTCCAGCAAATTCAGTTTCCCCAGCAGCTCTTGCCTCCACACTTGATACAGAAGTACTGGATACCTTCTCAGACGAGTAGGATTCTTTCTTTTGAGCTACTTCTGCTTCCCCAACAGATCTTGCCTCTGGCTGAACAGATGGAGAATCGCCTTCAATCCCTTTGTAACGGGAAGCAAAAGCCTTTCTAATTCTTGAACCAGGACCACCTTCAAGTACCCCCAACTCTACTGCACTCCTCTGGGAAGCTTTCAATGGAATTTTCTTAACAGACTCGTTCTTTGGTTCAGAATCTTCCTTTTGATTTGGAATTTCCAACTGCTCATCACCCTTGCGTAAAAAAGGCCTAATCTGAGTGGGATCATTGCCACCAGTAATCTTTTTCTGGGATCCAAGGCCAATAAGCTCTTCACCAGTCGATCTCCCTTGATTCCCAAACCCAACTGAGCCTGATTTTTTACCACCAGTTAAAGTTTTGAAATTCTCTTTTGGACTTTCTTGATCCTCACCCCCACTTATAGAAGGGCTTGACCGAGACTTCCCACGCACTGCATCTTCCAAACCATCACTTTCACCAAGACCCAGATTAGAATTAGACTTAGTAGACTCAAAATACTGTTCAGAATTATTAAAAGAAATCCCTTTCAATCTGCTATCACTACCCCGAACCAAACCAGGAATAACTTTGATCTCTGGCTTAGAAACAGAAGAAATCTCTGCATTATCGTCATTTAATCTCAAAACCTTTTTGTCCTGAGAAACCACTGCAGAGGTTGGTGTGCATGATGGGCTTTCAGTATCCTTCTTCTCAGCACTCAAGTCAATGCTCATATCACTAGCTCCACTCCATCTCCTCAAAACTCCCTTCTCTACAACCGTGCTTGACGAAGACAAGTCAGAGGACATCCTACGCAGCTCAACAGCCTTCACTACAACGGGCTTCCCTCCGGACGTATCCTTCTGTTTGTTCTCAAACATACTTATCCTGTCCTGAACACTGAGCCGCCTTGCAGGCTGACTGGCTGAAATGGGCACACTCTGATCAGGACTTGAGCTTTCATCTTTCCTATCTTTTTCTGGAACGGTGTCATTTGTCTTGTTTCCATCTTCCCTGTCAACACTTGATTCTCTGCTGAAAGTACGACGTAAGGGAAATGTAACAGGTGGAGGGTTGGGCTGCTGATACGTAGCGGTTTCCGGGTCGGGCGGTGGAGATGTCGGGTCGTCATCGATGGACATGTCCGACCCGTATGAGGAACGGACGGCCCGATCCTCATGTCCTGATTTCCGTGGGTGGATGAGTTCGGGCCCCCTCTCGCTTAACGAGATGAACTTGCTGCACGCTTCGCTGCAAAGCCATAGAGAAGACGGACTCTTTTAATATCGACCGCCAGTATTTATAGGAACCCATCAAATAAGAAGACAATATAGCATTTCAGGAATGAAAAGGAAAAAATACACAAAATATCCTACCGCATTTACAATTATCAAAAGTGGTATTGCTTTTTGCAACTTCTTTACATTGGTTGAAGGAAATTATAACTGAAACAAAATGGTTTTGCATATCAATTTTCTCCACATCAGTCGTCAAGAGAGGCAAGAATCAACATTCTCATGGCCTCGGTATATCCTATAGCCCAAGATTCTATTCCACTAAGATGCAGTAAAATCCCAAACCTCCGTATTCTTTTTCTTGAAATATTCAGACAAAGGAAAGTTGACTAGCCGCAAGTTCAAATGCCTAATTAAGCAGTATATAAGTCATTACCAGCGACAAGGAGTCAACTATTGCCCTACTTTTTTTTAATTGTTAGCTTATTTATCCTTAATCAAGCTTGCATGGTGCAGGCACTTTTCTAAACGCTGCGGAGAGGGAAAATTTTGGTTTTGGAGCTGTTTTAGTGAATAAAAGGAACCATTGGAGTCCTTACTTTAGACGATGAGCACCAAACCTATCTGCAAACATTTGAAGTTCCGAGACAGTGTCCGCATTGAAACCAGCAGCAGCAGCACGGGCACAGGCGGTAGATAGGTCCTGCCGCACTGCAACAAGCCTTACATCAATAGCCCTCAGAAGCTCCTTCCTGTATCAATTAGAACCAAAACAATAAGCACCAAAAAAACGACGAGAGGAAGAGGGGAAGCACAGGGAGAGAGGGGAAAAAGGAAATGAGGATGAAACTCCATTTGCCCCTAATATATTTCAACTACAGTTGTTTCATGGCATCCATCGGTAATGCTAAAAAGGAAGATAAAAGATAGAGAGAAAAAATGCCACTTGCAAGCAAAGACAAACTAAATAGGAATTGTTTCATCTCTCTGGCCAGTGCACCAAGAGAAGAAACACTTCATCATAACTTTGGCAGCCCGTAAGGATATAAATTGATTTCATATACCATTCAACTAATGCACACAACTGCACTGAATTTTCACAGTGAGCTATTCTCTATCCAGTTTCAGCAAAGTAGCACCAATGTAGTTAATGTATTTATGTTAAAAGGCACCCTAACAACTAAAATAGCCATCAGTTCCCACAGTTGTATGAGTGAAATAAAACAGCTTACAAATTTGATGTTAAAAGAATTCAATCTCATTTGCTATGTACAAAAATTAAGTCAAAGGAAACATAAGCACCTGAGACTCACAAAATTGGTTCATTAGTCCCACCCGTACCAAGACAAAACTTTTACTTGTTCAAATAACAAATAAATTGAAGCAGGATCAAGAACGATAAAAAAATTAAAGCTCTGTGCCCTACTGAGGTCCATTGGAACCAAGTGATGCACATATCAGCCATGTCGAATAAGATCATCTCACATAGCAAAAAATAAACATAGGCAGTTAAGAAACTAAACCAATAATAGAGAATTGAGGAGGTTATACTTCGTCGCATCATCTGCAGCTGTCGCCCCAGATCCACCTCCACCTGTAGAAATTGATATATCCAGTGAACAGTTCAGATTACTAGCATAGTAGCATACTAATGAGAATTCCAGCAGAAACAATGAGTGATCCTCTAATCAACTTGCCCTATATTAAGCAAAGCATGTCTCACCACCAACAAAAATAGAAGGTCATAAAAATTCCAATACCAAGTAGTGTGGAACCTAACAAAAAATCATGTAAGCATAGTTAAGTTATATCATCCATTTGTTTGTCATCCAGAGTGAGATTTAGAAACTTATACGACAGTAGTAAAGGTCTCCGGATTCCTACTTGGCTAAAGAAACAAAATATATATAAATATTCTGAAAAATCGGCTAATAGAAAGAACAAATAGTACACTTGTTAAGAGTAATAGAACCTAGCGAACAATATGAATCCATACCAGAAAGTTGATCTCCAGCTCCCTGGAATTTATTAGAGGAGTAAATTTAGTCATGATCATTCCAAGATAATTACAAATTAATGCTTCAGGTGATACTAAAAAAAATACCTGCGAATATATCCTACGAGCTGCTTCCAACTGCGACATCTCCGCATCTAAAGTACTGACCAGTTCTAAAACTTCAGGAGTACTTACAAACCGTACAAACCTGATTATTACAACTGTAAATTAAACATACCAGATGTAATGCATCACAATTAACTAACTTTTTAGTAATGACAAATGGCTTTACCTCTCAAGTGTTCCCTTTGTGAACCATGTTTCAGCATTTTTATTTTTCCCAACTTCAAGCTTGACTGACAGCGAAGCAGAGGCAACTCGTTCCTCTGCAATCTGTAAATGTGCAACAAATGGTTTAAGCAACCCTGATGCTAATTTCTCTGTGCTACCACCACTGGAGACGAACAATTCGCATCTGGCCAAAAGGAGCTCACTGTAAATAACCAATACCACCTAGGAACATCATCGATAGTGAAATCACGCAAAATATTTCTAAATTTCTCACCGTGAGTGCTTCGGTGAAAGCTGAAATTCAGCATAGTCTAGAGTGGAGTCTGATTTCATCTTTGCAACACTACAGAAAGGCACTATTTTTTTGGTCCTTTTTCATCAATGCACTCCCATCCCCCTGTATCTCTATATATACGATAATTTAGCTAGTTTCAGAACCAAACATACAATGTGCAGCCAGAAACAGCCTGCATTCCAAGCGAAAAAGTTAGACTATAAAGTATAAACATACGACAAATGAGATTGTGCTTCCCAAAATGTGCGTACATTCAGATTTTAAATATGCACATGCAACGAGATAAAAATAAGACCATGTTATTGATGAAAACTAACAGTCCCAGGATGCTAATTAAAAAATTTATCATTTTACAGATAAACTCGATATTGAACTACACTAGCCAAATTCTGCAGTACCGAGTACAGTGTACTTGAAACTGAATTACACCGCCACCACAACATCAATCAGAAAAAAGAACATACAATCCGTATCCACTCAGATCTGACTATACAGAAATCGAACTAAAATGCTCAACACCATCCCCTTCAGCTCAAAATTACCCCAACTCAATATCAGCTCAACTCGAAAAAGCAATGCCAAAAAACATCAAAACTTTATCACAACAACCAAGTAAATCAACTGAAACCCCATTAAATCCGAATTAACTTAACAACCACTAGAAGCGAGAAAGATCGAGCAAAAATTCAAACTTACCCCAACAATGCCAATGCGGAGATCTTCAATTCTCGAACCCGATCATCGTATACAAGACCAACTATCCACAAAACCCCTCAGGAAATCAATCTCAAAATGCAAGGGTTTGGGTGGGGTTTTGCAGAAGTTTAAAAGAACTAAAAAAAAAAATGGGGCTTAGGTTTTCGCTTTACTCCGCAAAAATGGAGTTGTGTACGTATACTCCACCTATATGCTTCTATATATATATATATCTCTCTTCCAGCTTCTCTCTCTCTAACTATGCGAATACAGAGAGAGGAGGAAAAACAGTGTGTCTAGAGAGAGAAAGTAGGAGAGTGGTGGAGTGAAGATGAAGAATGTGAAATGGTGCTGGATTGCTGCTTTGCTTATTGTTTGTGATTTCATCCAACAATTTTTAATAATTTATTTATTTTATTTTTTAGTTTTTATTTATATTTTTAATTTTTAATTTTTTATTTTTTATTTAATTTATTTATTTATTTGACTTTTTCTGATTGTTGTTGTGGGTAATATCTTTGCTGGGGGATGAAAGACAAAACAGACAATCCCTGATGGCTGTGGAACTGTGAATGTTTTTTCCCCATTTTGTTCATGTATGAAATGACTGTTTTGCCCTTGGGGCTAATTGTTTTTTTTTTAATTTAAATTAATGTTTTCCTCTTCGGCAATAAATCCAACAAAATTTATGGATTATTTAAAATATTTTTCTTTTAAAATAAAAGGAATTCAACTCTTGCTCATTTTTTTTAAATTAATAATTTATTTGCTCTTCTTTTCTTTTTAAGGTGGGGGAAATGTCAATTTCGCCTAATGACTGAATTGGGCATCTTAAGAAAGAGGTGGTGTTTATTTTATTTTATTTATTTAATTTCCTATAAAGAAAAAATGGCATGATTGAATCATATTCAACTAAGTGAAAGTGACAAATTGTGTTAATAGGGCGTGTCGATTCTGGCTGTTTTGACGAGCTCAAGCGAACTATGCTAGTCAAACTAGAGTTTAAGCCCATTTTGTGTTTTTTTTCATTGATATTATTAGAATTTCATTATTATAAATTAGGGTAAATTACAAACACCCCCTGAGGTATGATCAAATTACAAAAACCCCCCTCTTGTTTGGATAATTACATTTACCCCTCAACTATGATTTTTTCTTAGACCTCCACCTTTATGGTGCCAAATTCAACATAGTCATCTAGATTCCGTGAAATGTGCTCTAGTTTGTTCTCGTTTTGCGTAAAAAATACAGTTTCCGATGCACCACAGACTAATATATACAAGCTAAAAATCACATATTATGATCATCTTGCTTCATAATGTAGAGTTTGAATGGGATAAAACGGGTACAAAAGTGATAATATTACATATAATCTCGAAAATTCCACTAAATTTGAGGAGTTGAAGGGGTGGTTGTAATTATCCAAACAAGAGGGGTGTTTTTGTAATTTGACCATACCTCAGGGGGTGTTTGTAATTAATAAATTATTAATTAGTATTTTGTGACCACATGTTAACATGTTATCGTTGGTTCACTCGATGGTTTCGTCACCAAAATACTCGATAAATTAATAACATCGTTTAAATAATAGTTTTTTCAGGTCCCGACTCGATAAAAACCTATTAAATTATTAGTTCGATAAATTAATATTTCGTTAAATTAACAGAATTTTGTCAGTCCCAACTATGTTAATTTATAGATGTTTATCAATAGTGGACAAGTATATAAAGTAGAAAACATGAATACCAGTAAACTTCTTTATATATATTTGACAAACTTGAATTTAAGAATCACTAATACAGAATTTGGTGCTGGAAGCCGAACCCGGTGGATTCAACACGGTGTCATAATAGTTGACAGCGTTGTGTAGCCGGTCGTGGTAGCATTGTATAATCGAAGAAATCTGGTCATAGCCAGAGCCATACGGCCAATTCATAGCATTGTCGAGGTAATCAATCAGCAGGAATATGGTGATAACCTCCAACTCCTGTTGCTCGTGCCGAACGAACAACTCCTCAATCTCAGGGCACGTCATCATCTCGTCATCGTCGCCATAATCCTCCTCGGGTTGTACAAGCATTGACGGCCGCCGCGGCGGCGGTAGTCGGTTAATTATGGCTGAAACGTCAAAATAGTATCCAAGGTTTTCTTTCAAATCGTCCATTGCGCACTCCACTTCCTTGAGTAACTCTTCCGTCGCCGACATGTACAGTTCCAGGTATTGCAACGGGTCCACACGCAACGGGTTCATCTTGTTATTTACTCCTGCACAATTAATTATTAATCAATCATTACATTAATCATCATCATCATATATGTATGCAAAACATATATCCAGTGAAACAAATAATAAACAGAGAATATTTGTTTAGATTACAAAATAAATTCAGATTACCAAATAAATTGAACAAAAAAAAATATGTAAAACACATCTGAGAGGTGTAAAATTCGGCGTAAAGCTGGCGTTTGGCGTTTCTCTTCTTTGACTAGATAAAGCCCAGATTCGTATGGTTTACGTCTCTCGTATGGTTTGAAAACTATTGTACGAGAGTCTAGCTAGGTTTACCCGGTCCCAGTGCATAACAAAAAAAAAAAAAAAACAACACCAACATAAACGTCCAAAAAAACATAAAAGAATCATAAGAAAATTAAAAAAAAAAAAAAAAAAAAAAAAAAAAAAAAAGAAAAAAAGACTAACCTGGTTCAAACTCGAAACGTAAAAAAGCAGAAGATAGATAGTTGAGAAAAGAGAATAAAGGGAGTATTAAATAGGAGAAACTTGGCGTAAGATTTAAGACTCCTATCTACTTTACAAAACCTAAACCAATAAAACATCGTTAAAACAATACAATATCATAAATAATACGATAAATTACAACCAGGTATGGTCAAATTACAAAAAATTCCTCATATTTGGATAATTACAACTACCTATTACAATTATAAATCTTCTTACACGTCCATCCTTGCAGTTTTAGATTTATTGGATAATTACAACCAGTGGCGGATCCAGGATTTTTGCCAAGGGGGTTCGAAATTGTAGAATAAAAAATTAAAATATCACTTTATAAAAATAGTGGACCAAAAATTTATAATTTATAAATTTTAGGTGAATTGTGAAAATATTTAAAGACCAAAAAGTTGAAAAATGTTAAGATTTCAAAAATAGTGGACCAAAAATTTATAATTTATAAATTTTAGGTGAATTGTGGAAATATTTAAAGACCAAAAAGTTGAAAAATGTTGAGATTTCAAAAAAATTACATTATTGTGAGGGTGGGTTTCGAACCCATGACCTGTTAATAGAAAAAGACATATCTTTACCACTTCAACCAACTACCTTTTCTGTTGTTTTATGTATAATAGTAATATTTACTGAAAATCAAGGGTGTGCAACTGCACACCCTAGACCATGGCTACATCCGCCACTGATTACAACTACCTATTACAATTATAAATCTTCTTACACGTCCATTCTTGCAGTTTTAGATTTACTGGAATTTTCGAGATTATATGGCATATTATCACTTTTGTACCAATTTTATCTCACTAGAGCACATTTCACAAAATCTAGATGATTATGTTGAATTTGACAACATAAAGGTGGAGGTGTAAGAAAAAAATATAATTGAGGAGTAAATGTAATTATCCAAACAAGAGGGAATTTTTCATAAATTAATTAGACACGGCCACGGGCCGGGTTTGACCCGGACCCGGCCCGACCCATTGACTGCCCCGCCCCGACCTGGCCCGTTGACCATGGACCCGGACCCAACCCAGTACGGGTCGGTTTCGGGTCCCGATTTTTCGGACCCGAGACCCGACGGGTCTACCCGGCGGGTGGACCCGGAGGACCCGTTTCCACCCGGATTTTCAATGTAATTATACACCAAAAATGCAGCATATGGGGTTCGAACCCGGGTAGCCCGAGTGAATTAGTGAGTACTAACCACTCGGGCAAAGTTACAATATTAGTTATCTATAAATATATAACTAAATAATATTATAAAATAATTATAACTATTCTATAATTAATGTTTAATAAATTATTAATTGCCATGTTCATTATCATTAATATTAAAAATCTCCCTAACAAAGGCATATATATTTATTTTTTAAATTATGAAAAAATTCTCATATTAATTATTATTAAATAATTTTAATTAAATAATTAACAAATGCAATATAAGAAACTTTTTAAAAAAATATATAAAATCACGGTTCAATACTTCAAAACATCTATTATTAATTACTATATCAATATAATCTCCACTACTGAAAAATATAAAGTGTTGAATCAATTCAATATATAAACAAATGCGTTGACTTATTACAAATTCACTTATGTTATTAAAATTGATAGCGTGAAAAAATCGAATGAAAAATAAAATAATATGTTTATTTAAAAAAATAGATTATAACTCATTTCAATTAATTTAAATCGATTAACCTCAATTGTTGACAAGAACTTATTAATATTATTGAGTATTTTATCATAAGATGATTATTTAAAAATATAAATGATGTTTATTTTAACAAAAATAGATTATATCTCATTTCAATTAATATTCTTACTACAATATAACATTATATATGACTAGTGTAATCAAAATATTATGATGTAAGTTCTCTTTTAATAATTGATTTAACTTGTAAAAAACGTAAGAATTAATTTGTAGATTATATGATTTAATCATTTTTTTACATTTACATTTACGTTTTATTCAAATATTAGAATGGAATCGTATGATTTAAATGGATTAATCTCAAGTCCTTTAAATATTATATTATATTATATTATATTTGTTAATAATTTTTTTTTTTTGAGTATAATTATTTAATAATAATGAATATGATAATTAACAATCTATTTAACATTGTTTACCTTATATATATTTCTTGCAAGTAATTACACAAATATTTCCTTGTCTCTGTGCTTTGGAATGCTTTACATGAGTGTGGCCACCCGAGTTAGAAACCCACATATCACATTTTGGCCAAAATTTAAAAATCCGGTCCGGACTCGACCCGACCCGAGACCGTGTCTAAAATTAATCATACCTCAAGGGTGGTTGTAATGTACCCTAAATAATAAATCTCAAAAACAAAACCATCAGAAAAATAAAAAATAATAATAAATCTAAACTCTTGTTTAGACAAAGTTGATTGATTAACAATAAAAGCAAATTACGGCCAACCCTGAAGTATGACCAAATTATGAAAAAACCTCTCTTGTTTGGGTAACTACAGCTATCCCCTTCTTTTAAATATTTTATATAAAATTTATGTAATTCATTTATTTACATGACCAAATCGTATATTCGGTGCGGTAAACGGTAAGAAATGTTGGCGTGCCGAAATTTCGTTTCGTTTTACCAAATTAAGTCCCTAAATTTACCTCTGGAAATGTTTTTTCATAAAATAATATATAGTTGGGGGTGGTTGTAATTACTCAAACATGAGGCGGGTATTTGTAATTTGATCATAAATCAGGGGAGTGATCGTAATTCACTAATTTGCCCTCACAATAAAGTTGTCATGTCCGGTGGTTCGGCTCAAGACTTTTGTTTGGATTTAATTAAGGGGTTGTTTGTGATTTTCACCTTTAAATTAGTTCAATTTACCACCAGATTTATATAAAATATCATACATATTCTTTGAATTTGTAATCCACCGGAACGAAACCAAAATCAACAAAAAACAGGATTTTCTTAATTTGGAAATCCAACCTAGTCATGGTTTCAGTTTGTGTGGATGTTGATTGCATTGTTTCCCTAAACAGTAGGGAGTCTTAGTTGTTTTATATAATTTGGTAAACATTACTATATAATCGGAATTTTGAAGTTAAAAATTTTAAAAAGTGCAATATAAAGAACGAATATGACTACAGTTGATATAGTCATATTAGACTATAGTCTTATTCAACTATGGTCATATTCGGCGTAGTACACTTGTCGGAGAAAAAAAATCAATTTTTCGTTTAAAAAAAATTAAGAAAATATGCCTATAATCATATTCAACTATAGTCATATTCGGCGTAGTAAACTTGTTGGGGGAAAAAAAATCAATTTTTCGTTTAAAAGAATTTAAGAAAATATTAAAAAAATATGAAAATAAAAAATAATTAAAAATTTAATAAAAAAAAACTTCATCTGCACGTGGGTTTTGATTTTGTATGTGAAAAAACAAATTTTTTTTTTTTTGTTGGCTGATTTTATGGAGCATATTAAGGTGATTTTTTATTTTTTTTATTAGTTGGCTGATTTCAAGGAATTGGAATATTGAGTTGGAAAAAATTTCTATTATTTTGGCATTATTTAAGGAAAGCGACATGGATTATTGGGATGGATTATTGGGTAGGAGATTTTCTAATTTTAGAAGGGTAGTATTGGAATTAATATTTGTAGGGGTTATCACAAAGAAAGATTTACGGGTTGGACATATCACAAAGAAAGATTTAAGGCTTGAACATATCACCATTTATTACTCATCCAATGGGTTTATTGCTAAAGATCCCATTTTTATTTGGTTACATGCTAGTATAAAAATTAAATAGTACTTTAAATGATGTTTTTATTTGGGGTACACATAATAACAAAATTCTGATTTATTCCAAGAAAACTTCCTTTTCTAACCGAACTTTCATAAAAAATGAGCTCGGACTCTCGTCAGAAAGCTCGAGCTCGAAAAAATCGAGTTAGAGTTCCAGTTTTTGTCGAGCTGGCTCGACTCATTTACACCCCTAGTTTTGAGGTCTTCGGAAACATCTTTTATTCAATGCAAAACATAAAAATGGATATCTTTTTTAAAATAAAATCAAATTGAGGTATTTGAATAAACTTAAAATAAATGAAAATTTTATAATTTGGTGGAAATGTGACATTAAAACAAATTTAAATAAAATTCTAAACAAAAAATTATCTAATCTCAACACCTAAACCTAAAGAATAATCTTCTTCTCCTTTGTTGTTGGAGGATTAATCCCTCCCATAATTGTTATCTCCCTCCAATTATTAATGTCCATTGATTTAGGCCCTATATTTGATTTCAAATGGATGAAACATTTATCGAAATTCATATCATACTTTCAAAACGAAGTCGAGTTCAATCAATTAGTATATCAATCGAATATCTATGACGATCAAATTTTGCTATACACCTGGTAATCGAAATGTACACCAGGTACAGAAAAAAAAAACCCAATTACGGAAAAAATGTTATATGCATGCATCACAAGTTTTAAGCAAATTCTCGTACCTGTCTTAACATATTATTCGGAAAAAATCATCATAGAAATATAAATGTGAATACCAAACCAGGCATTGTATGTAAAATTTTGCTGGCCAACTAATTACAGGCGTAGCTTGCTTCTCTTTCCTTTCGTCTTTTCCCAACGGTGAATTCCGCACACTTCTGCTGAAGAGGGTAATGGCTTCCTCCAGATCTTGACGTCTCTCATTTGATGAAAAGCCATACCTCGGTTCCTATCTCGTACTCCAGCATAGACGGAGATGCCACTAGTATTCTGGGTTCGAGACCTTGTTCGCTGCAATGCAATTATCATGCTAATCAATTTAATATCAAAATAAGACGAAGAAACAACCTTTTTAATACGTAGAAATTGCCTAAAAAATTGCTGGTTTATAATTTAGAAATTGTAACTCAAGCGGAGTAATACATCTGATATAGAGAAAATTACAAAACAGTAATTACCTGACGCGACCCACGCGGCGGAAGAGAAACGCGGCTGCTGGGTAAAATTTCATCCATTTGATCATGATCCATAGGTTCGAATCCCTGTTCAAGAAGGTACGACTCTAATAAATAATTGTAGACGTTGATTTCTACGAAGAAAAAAAAAACAACAAATGTATTCTGTATTTTGTAGTTAACTGAGGCAAAACCTGAAAATAAAAAATGTGTGAATTTTGGTCCAAATTTTGATATGTCTCAGGCACAGGTAGAGGAAGCGGCATAACAGTCTGCTCGGGATTAATATCCATCTCCTGAACATACACAAACGATTTTAAATGAAGACAATGCCCGAACCAAAATAGTAAAAATCTACAAAATGAAAATCAAATTTAATTAATATTTCACTTATACCTGACCCAACTCGGGTGGCAATAGAACAGGAGAGGTTTGCTCGTGGTCCATGCTCATGTCCTGAAAGAAAGATCACAATATAAATCATCAAATGTGCATCAAGACCTGCAGGCTGCAAACAATAGTTTACGAATTCTGGCATACAGTATATAAATGTATGTAACTAATGATGTCGATATTGTGTAATTGATTAGACAGAAAATCTTTGTCCGATCATAATGGTCTGTAATTCTGTCTATATACTAATGAATTCTGTATATATACTACTGGTTAGCTATTCCTAGTAAATAACAAGTCTCTATGAAGATTTAAAAATATTATTTGATATAATCTAAAATAATATATCTTGATGATCAGAATCCCGAAAACCTTTCTTAGGAGAAAATTAAAATTAAAAATAAAAATGAAAATGAAAACAATCAATGTTTTGTTTCTACCTCAGGCGAAAGAGTTAGTGGCATGGCGGTCAGCTCTTGATTCACATTCAGCTGCTCGTGGTTTCGATTCACGCCCTGAACAATAAATTTTGAGCAATAAATTACAACTCATGAAGAAATCACTACATACCCTAAAAAATATCTAATTACAAATCAAGAAATCAACTTAAAAATTTTAAATGAAGATGCGGATATCATAATCTATACCTCTTACCAGAATTACTAAAAATCTAAAAAAAGTAAAAAACAATTTGATTTTACCTGAGGCAACTCCTCCTCAGGCAATGAAAGATTAAGTGGTTGGACGGGCTGCTGGAGATTCACATTCATATCCTAGATAAAAAAAATCAAAGAAGTCCAAACAGTATTTATTAAGACTCAAGAAGGCCAAAAATAATCTATTACAATGCAAGAACTCGATTTTTTTTAAAGAAAATTAGCTACCGGATTTATTTCATCATTTTGGTTATGGTTTTGTCGTGGGGGAGCTGTAGAATCAAAAAGTTTGTGAACAGCCTCCGTGAGTTCTTGCTGCTGGCGGATTAACACCAACAAATGATCTTTGTTTTGAGAATTGAGAATCTGTAGACTCTCGTTGTTCTGCTTGTTCAAAACTTGAATACATTCGTTTCTTTGCTTGTTCAAGCTTTCTAAGTGCGCCATCTTCTCGTGATCCATAATCCTGAAACCAAGAAAACGTTGCCGTTAATTCAAGAACTTAATGCATGATAATGAATCGACTACTTCTGTAATTAAATAATACATGACAACACGAGAGTAGATTTTACAGCAAAGAAAATTGTGAAGATTTAGAGTGTTACAGAGAATAATTTGAATAACTTCGTGAGAGTTCGTTTTTTATAGGCAGTTGGTTTGTTTTAATTGAAGAAGAAATTACCTTCATGCCATTCTGGTTTTATTTTTATTTTTTATTTTTATTTTTTCTCAAAAAAAATAATATTATTAAAAAAAAATAAAAAAAAAAAAAATGAAGGAGCTGGAATCGAATCTTACCATTAAGATGGCAATTAGATTCAGCGGAGTCACACCGCTGAACCTCTCCGTGTCGGAAAAACATAAATAAGACGGCGTCGTGGAAGATTGAGCTAATTTCCACTCGGCCATGCGATGGACCCTACACCCTAGGGTAAAAGTGCGGATGTTCGAGATGGGCTGTGCTGGTGGTCGTTTTAACTAATCTCAAAAAAGAAATTATTTGACTTTATCTTTTGCTTAATTCAAGTATATATATATATATATATATATATACTTAATATATTTTTTATTATTATTATTATTATTATTATTATTATTATTATTATTATTATTATTATTATTATTATTATTATTATTATTTATATTAAAGTCTATATACGAAAACCCTCCTTATTATTCCATAATTACATCTACCCCTGCAATTAATAGATTTCTTACATTAACACCCTTTGTAGGGGTGGATGTAAGAAATTTACAAACTCCAGGGATCTGGATGTAATTTCTGAAACATAAGGGGTTTTTTATAATTAGACTTTCCCTCAGCGAGGATGTAATTTAGCCTATATAGATACCTTCTCTCCAGCAAATTCAGTTTCCCCAGCAGTTCTTGCCTCAACACTTGATAAAGAAGTACTGGATACCTTCTGCTTCCCCAACAGATCTTGCCTCAATCCCTTTCGAGCTGAAATGATGGAAAATCGCCTTCAATCCCTTTCGAGCTGGTGTGCATGATGGGCTTTCAATATCCTTCTTCTCAGCACTCGAGTCGATGCTCATATCACTAGCTTGACGAAAAAAAGTCAGAGGACAGCCTGCGCAGCTCAACAGTTTTCACTACAACGGGCTTCCCTCCGGACGTATCCTGTCCTGAACACTGAGCCGCCTTGCAAGCTGACTGGCTGAAATGGGCACACTCTGATCAGGACTTGAGCTTTCATCTTTCCTATCTTTTTTTTCTGGAACGGTGTCATGTGTCTTGTTTCCATCTTCCCTGTCAACACTTGATTCTCTGCTGAAAGTACGACGTAAGGGAACTGTAACAGGTGGAGGGGGGATGCTGATACGTAGCGGTTTCCGGTTCGGGTGGTGGAGATGTCGGGTCGTCATCGATGGACATGTCCGACTCGTATGAGGAACGGACGGCCCCATCCTGATTTCCGAGTTCGGGACCCCTCTTGCTTAACGAGATGAACTTGCTGCACACGTTGCTGCAAAGCCATAGACAAGATGGACTCTTTTAATATCGACTACCATCAAATAAGATAGCATTTCAGGAATGAAAAGGGAAAAATACACACAAAATATCCTCCGGCATTTACAATTATCAGAAGTGGTATTGTTTTGTGCAACTTCTTTACACTGGTTGAAGGAAATTATAACTGAAACAAAGTGGTTTTGCATATCAATTTTCTCCACATCAGTCGTCCAGAGAGGCAAGAATCAACATTCTCATGGCCTTGGTATATCCTATAGCCCAATATTCTATTCCACTAAGATGCAGTAAAATCCCAAACCCCTGTATTCTTTTTCTTGAAATATTTAGACCAAGGAAAGTTGAGTAGGCGAGTTCAAATGCCTAATTAAGCAGTATATAAGTCATTACCAGCGACAAGGAGTCAACTATTGCCCTACTTTTTTTTTAATTGTTAGCTTAGTTATCCTTAATCAAGCTTGCATGGTGCAGGCACTTTTCTAAACGCTGTGGGGAGGGAGAAATTTGGTTTTGGAGCTGCTATAGTGAATAAAAGGAATTATTGGAGTCCTTACTTTAGACGATGAGCACCAAACCTATCTGCAAACATTTGAAGTTCCGAGACAGTGTCCACATTGAAGCCAGCAGCAGCAGCACGGGCACAGGCGGTAGATAGGTCCTGCCGCACTGCAACAAGCCTTACATCAAAAGCCCTTAGAAGCTCCTTCCTGTACCGATTAGAACCAAAACAATAAGCACCAAAAGAACGACGAGAGGAAGAGGAGAAGCACAGGGAGAGAGGGGAAAAAGTAAATGAGGATGAAATTCCATTTGCCCCTAATATATGTCAACTACAGTTGTTTCATGGCATCCATCGGTAATGCTAAACATGAAGATAACGATAGAGAAAAAAAATGCCATTTACAAGCAAAGACAAACTAAATAGGAATTGTTTCATCTCTCCGGCCAGTGCACCAAGAGAAAAAACACTTCATCATAACTTTGGCAGCCGATAAGGGTACAAGTTGATTTCATATACCATTCAACTAATGCACACAACTGCATTGAATTTTCTGAGTGAGCTATTCTCTATCCAGTTTCAGCGAAGTAGCACCAACGTAGTTAATGTATTTATGTTAAAAGGCACCCTAACAACTAAAACAGCCATGAGTTACTACAGTTGTTTACAGGTATATGAGTGAAATAACACAGCTTACACATTTCCCATGTACAAGAAAAAACTTGTACTTGTTCAAATAACAAATAAATTGAAGCAGGATCAAGAACGATTGAAAAATTACAGCTCTGTACCCAACTGAGGTCCATTGGAACCAAGTGATGCACATATCAGCCATGTAGAATAAGATCATCTCACATAGCAAAAAATACACATAGGCAGTTAAGAAACTAAACCAATAATAGAGAATTGAGGAGGTTATACTTCGTTGCATCATCTGCAGCTGTCGCCCCAGATCCACCTCCACCTATAGAAATTGATATATCCAGTGCACAGTTCAGATTACAAGCATAGTAGCATAATAATAAGAATTCCAGCAGAAACAATGAATGATCCTCTAATCAACTTGGCCTATACCAAATAGTGTTTCTACAGCACTGCCACGACGGCCTAAGTGCTTACCAAAGACAAAAGTGTGACTTACACTTTGAAAGTAAACACAAAATCTTGCAACAACATGGAATTATTCAGCAACCTGAACTTAAAAAGTAAAGAAACGCAGAAAACAAGAAGGCCTAGGAATAATATTCAAAAGATATGCCAATAGGGGATATAGCTCATATTGATTTGATAACTTATTAACTTGGCATGCTTGACACAAACAAGGAACAGAGTGGAGAAACGTATATTATGACCTACAAACCGTACAAACCTACGAGCTGCTTCCAACTGCGATATCTTCGCATCTAAAGTATTGACCAGTTCTAAAACTTCAGGAGTATTTACAAACCGTACAAACCCGATTATCGTTTTACAGATAAACTCGATATTGAACTACACTAGCCAAATTCTGCAGTACGAGTACAGTGTGCTTGAGACTGAATTACACCACACCACCACCACAACATCAATCAGAAAAGAAAAAAAAAAAAAAAAAACATACAATCCATATCCACACAGATCTGACTATACAGAAATCGAACTAAAATGCTTAACAATCATCCCCTTCAGCTCGAAAAGGCAATGCCAAAAACATCGAAACTTTATCACAACAACCGAGTAAATCAACTGAAAACCCCATTAAATCCGAATTAACTTAACCACCACTAAAAGCGAGAAGATCGAGCGAAAATTCAAACTTACCCCAACAATGCCAATGCGGAGATCTTCAATTCTCGAACCCGATCATCGTATACGAGGTCGATTGTCCGCAAAACCCCGCAGAACATTCAATCTCAATTTCGCCTATTAATTAATATTTTATTTGCTCTTCTTTTCATTTCTTTTTTTTGGGGGAAATGTCAATTTCGCCGATAGATTGAAACGGGAATCTTAAGAAAGAGGTGGTGTTTTATTTTATTTTATTTATTTAATTTCCTATAAAGAAAAAATGGCATGATTGGATCATATTGACATATTCAACCAAGTGAAAGTGACAAATTATGTTAATAGAGGAGGACCTTTTATTTTAATAAGCGTAAATTACAATCACCTCTGAGGTATGGTCAATTTACGAAAAAAACCCTCTTGTTTGGATAATTACATCTACTCCCCTCAATTTACGAAAACCCCCTCTTGTTTGGTCAATTTACATGCCAAATAACACATATTATAATCACATTGCTCCAAAATTGTGGAGTTCGAATGGGATAAAAGGGGTACAAAGGTGATAATATTCCATATAATCTCGAAGATTCCATTAAATTTAAAACCGCAAGGATGGACGTGTAAGAAGTTTTATAATTGAGGGGATGGTTGTAATTACCTAAACAATAGGGGTTTTTCATAATTTGATCATACCTCAAAGGTGGTTATAATTTACTTTGTTAATAATGACCATATAAAATTACGTGTGTAAACGCCCTTCGAGTAATACTTTGTTAAAATTATTTTGTGACCACATGTTTACATGCTATCGTTGGTTCGCTGTGGGTTCGTTGGCAAATACAGTAGAATCTTAATAAATTAATAACTTCGTTAAATAATAGTTTTTTTTTAATTCCGACTCGATAAAAACCTTTCACCAAATAGAATGTTATCAGTTTCGACTACATTAATTTGTAGATGTTCAACTATAGTGGACAAGTATATAAAGTAGAAAGCTTGAATACCAATAACCTTCTTTATATATATTTGACAAACTTGAATTTAAGAATCACTAATACAGAATATGGTGCTGGAAGCCGGACCCGGTGGATTCAACACGGCGTCATAAAAGTTGACAGCGTTGTGTAGCCGGTCGTGGTAGCATTGTATAATCGAAGAAATCTGGTTATAGCCAGAGCCGTAAGGCCAATTCATAGCATGGTAGAGGTAATCAATCAGCAGGAATATGGTGATAACCTCCAACTCCTGTTGCTCGTGCCGAACGAACAACTCCTCAATCTCAGGGCACGTCATCATCTCGTCATCGTCGCCATAATCCTCCTCGGGTTGTACAAGGATTGCCGGCAGCCGCGGCGGTGGTAGTCGGTTAATTATGTCTGAAACGTCAAAATAGTATCCCAGGTTTTCTTTCAAATCGTCCATTGCGCACTCCACTTCCTTGAGTAACTCTTCCGTCGCCGACATGTACAGTTCCAGGTATTGCAACGGGTCGACACGCGACGTGTTCATCTTGTTATTTACTCCTGCACAATTATTAATCGTTCATTCAGCTAATCAATCATCCAGTGAAACAAATAATAAACAGAGAATAATTATTTTTTTATAAGCTAAATCATAGAAGAATTGGATTTTGGTCAGATTCAGATTACAAAATAAATTTAGATTACAAAATAAATTCAGATTACAAAAAAAAATCAGATTACAAAATAAGTTTAGATTACAAAATAAATTCAGATTACAAAATAAAATTGAACAAAAAAATATGTAAAAACACATCCGAGGGGTGTAAAATTCGGCGTAAAGCAGGTGTTTCTCAGAAAGCCCAGATTAGACGATGGTTTACGTTTCTCGTATAGTTTGGAAACTATTATACGAGAGTCTAACTAGGTTTACCCAGTGCAATAACAACAAAAAACACAACACCAACATAAACATCCAAAAAAACATAGAAGAATCATACGAAAATAATGCAAGAAAAAAAAAAAAAAAAAAAAACTAACCTTGTTCAAACTCGAAACGTAAAAAAGCAGAAGATAGATAGTTGAGAAAAGAGAATGAAGGGAGTTATAAATAGGAAAAACTTGGCGTAAGAGTTAAGACTCCTATCTACTCTACAAAACCTAAACCAATAAAACATCGTTAAAACAATACAAATTAAAATACCATAAAACAATATTGTTTGGACTTTGGCAAACAAATTGGGAATTAGCAATTTCGATATTTTAATTTACAACAAAAAAAAATTAATTTATGGTAAATTACAACCACCCCTAATGTATGGTTAAATTACGAAAACCACCCTCTTGTTTGGGTAATTACAATCACCCTCTAAACTTTAAAACTTCTTACACGTCCACCTTTGCGGTTTCAAATTTAATGGAATCTTCGAGCATTGTTATTTATTTATGTATAGATCCATGAATTTTAGACAAATATCTATATATACTGCTTTGATTATGTGTAAATTAAAAGTGCAAAAACTATGTACGGAATGAAAATTATCAATGTTTAATTAATTAACCAGCTTCATGGTGTCTCGTTTACTTTTGTTAAGGTTAAAATAACTCGCATGCACAAATGTACATTTGGTAAACTCCGCTCGTCTGCAATAGCTCGAGAATCACACTAGATGCCTAAATTGTATTAGATAAGTCGTGTGCGACAAACTCAACTTAGAAAGTGTTAGCAAAGTAATCGAATTTTAATTATTACACGTCATGCTTTCTCCTCGAATTAGGTCATCTTACGCACAAGCTTTGGCATGATTCTTGCATGCTAGCTAGTGAATACATGTTCGTAAATAAGAACACAGTGTAATTAACTCTCACTTAATAACAATTAGTATCGCGCTCATCGTGATTAATTAGTCCAATTTTTCCTACAAATATGAATTTAACATTCATTGTTACTCATACCAACTTAATACACACATTTATATATAATAGGTAGGAAAAAAGTATATATACCGATACTTATTACATGTAAAACTCTTAGTCGATCGCGATCGGACAAGAACAACTGATTAATTAAAACATACAGCACGATACAAAATACAAACGCAACGCAAAAAAAAAAAAAACGATCCTAACACACTCGATTTTTCTTTTTTCTTTCGTAAAGGGCAAATTAAGGAAACCCTATTTTTTTTGTGCTAATTAACAATATATGAGCACTTAATACTTAATTACAATAATATTTTTTAATAAACTTTTTACTTCCGAATCTCCGAAGATAATTAACGTTCCAAAGCACTTAGCACAATCCTGAAAACACGATTTTAGCAAATGTTAGATTAGAGTAAAAACGATGAACTCGATTTAGTATTTTTACGGAATTAATTTAATTTATTGTATCGCGAAAGAACATTGTTAGAACTTCCGTATAAATGCTACATTAGTTGAACTTTACGGAATTATATTTGATTATACATGTGTGTAGATCCATAATTTTTTAGACAAACATCTATCATCAATCTACTAAATTAAAAGTAAAAAAAATTACTAAATGAAACTAATAATATAACATCAAAACTAACAAGGTAACTTTTGGAATATAGCAATCTTGAAGGACTAATAAGCAAAATATCAATTGTTATCAAAAAAGTCAAAAGATGAATAGAAAACCAACCAATCATAGCCGGAGGGGCTCTTGGAGTAAGAGTTGGGCAAAGCCGCCGATGTCGATTTTCTCCTTGCCATCCGTTTCAAATTACTACCAGGGGTACATGCTAAAAAACACCCCAAAAGAAACCAAAATTACAAAACCACCCCATAAAATTAAAGTATTTCCAAAAACAACCCCAAAACTTTTCAATAGCTCAAAAACACTCACGTGAAAACGGCGAGCTTGGATCGCCGGAGCCAGAAGGAGACGACGGATCAGACGGAGAGTCAACGGAAACTCTGAGATTACGTTTCGGAATGTCTCGAGGCGCGGTGATGCTCCGGGAAACCGGGACTGTCTGGCCGTCGGTGCTCGGCGGCGGCGGTGCGGCGGCGGTGAGGCTGGCCGAGAAAGAGTTGTGTTTGCGGAGTATTCCGAGGCCGGATTCCGGTGTTGGACCGGCTAGGGTTTCATCCCAGAGTTTGTCGAGAAGTCCCATGATTGTGATGGACTAAAAAAGAAATTCCCAGGTGTAAATAAATTAAGAAATGGGGTTTCTTTTGTAATAAAAAAAATGTAGTTGGGGTGTGGGGGAGGTTCTTTTATAGAGAAGAAAATTGAAAATTAAAAGATATTTTTTTTATGGCTCAATAATTCGTGGCTTCAGCTAAGCTTTGATGGCTTAGCTTTCTTGTTTTGTTGGCTTCGGTATTAGCCGAGCCGAGATTTTGATGAAGCCGGCTGGCATTGATGTGACAAAAGAATATCAAGTGAGTAAGTTGACTTAGTCAAGTAGCTTGACAGCTCGGCTAAGACTTTCTTTACTTTTTTTTTTACTTATTCCAACACGTCATCAGATAAGATTGATATCCAGATCTACCTATCTTTTTGTTTAGAATGGTGGAATGATTCAGTGTGGTGGGGTCCACCCTACTGTCACGTGATGGGGATGGTCTACCGACTATGTAATTATTTCAATTTCTATGGGCCAAATTGGAATTTGGGTATTATTAATTAATGGGCTGTTTTTTTGACAATGTCTAACTTAACTGGGGCTCATTACTACTAGGCCCAAGAAAACTAAATTATTTCACAATTGGCTTAATTTTATTATTACCATTTCACAAATTAATAATATATTTGTGACATACATCAGTGGTCCGATGAGTATTTGGGTCATCTACAAGGCTCATTTTGTCAACCACTTACAAGATCATTAACTAAGAGCTACAGTCAAACAAACACGTCGTCTAGGCTACCCTCAAATACGTTGCCAGCTACCGGTTCACCTCATCCAAACACGTTGCCACCCGACGCCCACCTCACAACTTAAAACTTTCGAAATTGACAACAAAGGTTTTCAACGACTCTAAATCTACAACTAAGTCCCTAGACCTGGCGAACAAATGACGTGGCGAACATATTAAAAACATCTACTCTGAACGTGTCTCGCTACTCGAAACTCGATTGAGAGTGGGGGCACAATAATATACCTTATTGAGCCGGCCCGCTAAGACAATGACTATTTGTGCTATCTAAAAAGCTCGTTATATCATTCATTTATAAGATCATTAACTAATTAAGTGAAAATATAATGACCACTTAAAACAAGCATTTGTTCATATTAGGATGAAAAGGTAATGCAAATTGTAAATACTAAACAACTTTTTAATAAAGTGATTTAGTTGATGTCACTTTTATAGACAAAAAAGGAAGACCAAATTGGAAATAAAGTCTTTGAACTTGCAGAGTACAAGCACAAGCTGCACATTTTTTTAAAACAAAATTAAACAAGTACAAGTTGGTGAAACATGGAATCATACGCTTAAAAGGGATATGCAATTTAATAATTTAATATATTAATGTTTTTTTTTTTTTGTTTTTACACTTCGTAGTTAGAATTGATGAACAAAAAATTGATTTAACATTTTGATATCTTGAAAACCGCCACTAAAAATATTAAAATGCATTCTCCGGTTTCAAAAATTCATTTGTAGTGCATTATGCATGATTTATTGTCTTTCAAGGATAGAAAGTGCTAAAAAAAAAAACTTGAAGGTGCAAAGTGCAAAAAATAGGGGCAATTTTTTTTTGGTGTAGTTTTAAAGTGTAGTTTTTAAAATGGGGTTGTTTTGGGGTGGGTAACCGAATTGGGGTTGAACGCCACCCACCACGGCGGCACCGGCACAGGAGATGCCACCGGTGGTGCCGTCTTCTCTTTAAAATATTAATATTTTAATATTATAATATTATAATATTATAATATTATAATATTATAATATTATAATATTTTAATATTTTAATATTTTAATATTTTAATATTTTTAATATTTATTTTCTGATTTTAATTTTTTTTACAAAATAAAACATTAATGTTAGTATTATTTATTACATTTTATATATGTTCTCCATTAGTGTTAAATTGATCATTGCTTATATTTATCTAATTAACACA